CACTTGAATCTGAGGCGATCTTCTTCATAGAGAGAACAGGAGTGTCAAATTACAGAAACAGATATCAGTATCATGCTAGGTAAGAGACAAGTTGGTTTACTTATTACAATCTGTTCTTAGGACTTTGCTGATAATATATATCATCAATCTAGAATATTATTAATTTTTACGTGGCTGATTTTGACTGTTTCGGACAACTGTACTGCTGAAAACCGAATAATGACACTTAATCTAATTTTTTACTGTGCTTGAGTGACGCCGTGCTGTTCAGAAATGTGAGCCTATTACGTATACGCTCCACGGGTAATTTGCTTTTAAATGAAAGAATCGCCTACAATTTTAGAGATCAAAAAAATTTAAGAACGCAGTTATGCTGACTAGCAAAAAAATTGTTGTCTACGAGGCTTAGAAAACAAATTAATTAACCTCTCTCCTACAAAAAAAAAAAAAAAAAAAAATAATACTTAGAAGTGTTAACCATGGCCAACAGAAAATATTATGACAATCTTTACTTGAAAATATTTACTTGCGAACCTTTGGACGAATTGACTTAAAGAAATAGAAAGTTTTACCAAGGGACTAGAGGCAAACACTGAAACACTTGAATTTGCACATAGAGCGCGGTTTTTTGTTTAACCTGTTTCTTGCGCCTTAGGGCAGGTGTTTGTAAACGGGACTCACTTCCTTCTCTAGTAGTTTTTTTTTCACGATATTTGACCTTGGAAAGTCACAAATGCTTACTCTTTGACATTCTAAAAGAAAATTAACAATGTGATTCACAGATCTATTTACAGTTCATAATGTATTTCTTCCTTTTTCAGTTTCGGCTTTGCTGGTTTTACTCCTTCCACGGTTTTCCCTTGAAGCTCCTGTGAACAAGCGGGAAGTGTCTGCGAGAACAAAAGATGTTTTACGATCAATGTATAATTTCTGCCACTCGAAAAATTTAATGGATTTGACTCGGAAGACAAAAAGAGGCCTATGTAAGTGTCCAAAAAAAAATCTTTAAACTTTGCATTTGTTTACAGGCATTTACCATTACATAATCGACCTTAAAGCGATAAATTTTACCAAACAGGATTCATCCACCGGTGTAATGTAATATTGATGTTAGAGTCGACCACATAAATGATGTCAAAATGTCGAAGTTTAATAACTCAAGTGGAACCACGAGTAGCAGGCGAGTTGTCACACAGCAAAGTTTTGAACATTTTGTATTCCTAGACATTTTTTTCTCCGAACAGATCGTTTTAAAGACCATGTGATCTAAGGAAACGACAGGATCTGGGAGCGAGTAGTCTAAGGTCTATGTCGTATTTCCTTATCCGGAACCTGACCCAACTTACCAACCAATGAGCTAAATTCTCGTTCAAGAACGCGCGTTGAGTTTAGGCTGCGGTCTTACTGACGTCGAACGCAACAAGCAAACATAAAAACAAAATTCAAACGAAAACAATAGTTAATGAAATATTTAACATTTTGTTTCATTCATGTTCTCGTTTAGGCGAAAGAACACTTTGGGGACCCTTTGGAGTCCAGACAGGTTGACATCAATGGAATTGAACCACTGAGCAACTCTACGGAATGGACAGTAAGTTTCTTTTAGTGATCTAGTTGTTTTCAATTATAATGTTTTTCAGTTGAAAATATATTCCTCCTCATTTAATTTGTCACCGTACTTTTATAATGAGGTGACTCCTGATTCAGTGGGTGTATAAGGAATTATCGGAGTTATTAGCTCTAAGGCCCGGTTCAGATGCCGCACTTTTTATGAGCCGAACCTTATTCGAATTGAGGATTAGACCGGCTAAATTGATTCAGATGCCGATCTTAATTCCCGCCGAACTAAATTCCGAAGGCGAAAAACGCGCATTTCAGTCAAACTGCTTACACAATACGTTATAAGAATTGATGCATTAGGTTCGGTACATGAAAAGTTCGGCGTCTGAATCAAAGACGTTCCAAAGTCGATCCAAAGGCGAAATTTCCGGCCGGGCTAGGCAAAAAGAGCGGCTGAGCCTTTCCAAATTGAAACAGGCGTTCCTAATTGATTCATACGCCGAACTTTTCATGTACTGAATTCAATGTTCGGCTCATGAAAAGTACGGTGCCTGAACCGGGCTTAAGAGGAAATACCGACCTCCCAAGTTTGAGCATGTACCTCAACGTTAGCATTAACACAGTATTTGTTAAAAAAAGGTCACCATTAAGATGAAGTTGCCGTTTGTCATAAAATTTAAAAACTATTGACGTTGGATTTTTCAAAGCAACGTAATTGCCTACCGCCCCATAATAGTATAATTTGAAAAAATTATAGGGACCCTGTCTGTATTAAGAGCTCAAGGGAATAGCTCAGTTTAGCCGATATCGAAACGCAAAAGGTCCTTGCCTTTTGAATTTTACCCTGGCACTAAGTACGGCATACAGTCTATTAAGTCCTTTTGAGTCCATCTTCTGAATTGCTCTCAAAAGATGTGTTCCTTATTACTTTCAGGTACAGCTGGTTGTTTCAAAAGCATTCAAACAACTCTCCATATTTCACGCGATCTTCGAAGACCTTTTGGGCCACTTGAATCAGATTAACGAGAAGCACAAGATCGTGAATAAGACCGAGGCTATGAATAAAAAGGTGAAAGAGCTGAAACGGCTGGCAAGAATCGCTGCGGTAAGTGATGCATTTACAATCATTTTAGCTTAATTTGACTGTTTGTCATTATTTATATGTTTCAAATTCGCTCAGTCTCTGACTTGTACCCCGTTTACTCTTTGTCCTTGTATCCTTCCAATCTTCCTCCGCACGCATTTTTATCTCGCTTCTCTTGTACGTAAATAACGACCTTTAGATTCTAAGACGAAGACGACTACGAGTACGAGGTTTTCTCAATACTGAGTAGTGCTTGCGCATGAATCAGTGTCATCTTGGCGGGAAAACACGGTGGCCTTTCTACTACGGTTTTAGCCAGAATGTCGTGATTGCAAACACTATAATTTTTATCATTTTACGATGAAAAAAGGGCTTAGTCCTGCTTTAATACAGATTACCGTGCTAATTTTTCTGGTGAATAAGAGTACAATGAGGCCTTCTGGGATATCTATTTTTTTTGAGAATACGTAAACGTTTTTAGGCTAAATCTCGTCCTCCAATCTAAAGGTGTCCAATAGAGCTAATCCCTATTAGAAGCGGAATTGCACCCAAAAACCCACTGCGACTACCCCGTTAATACAAACACCACCTGTTATTTAGTATCTCTAGTCGATAACTTTCCCACATGTTTTGCCTAATTGATACGACAGACGGCAAATGACTGCTGGGAAAACCGAAATAATCCATTCATTATGTAGTAAAACCCTTTATTGATCGTTATGATTATTTCTTTAGATTTTCGAGTTTGGTAAATCCATGGCCCATAGCAACTCTTTATCGGTAGCTACCTCATTAAAGCAACAAAGAGCTGTTTGGACCAAGTCTGCCTTTCGACAAGAAACCTGGATACTTGGAGTTTTAAGAGAGTTTGATATCTGCTTACGCTATCTGCAGCCGGCGTTTTTGGAGTTTTCAAACCGATAAAGGAAGACATACGAGGAGTATTGAAATGGTCATGTCACTTTGAATCTAAGGGTTCTTATTACATACTTCCGTTTGCCTGCAACAGGCTATCATTTTATACATAGTCTGGAATGAGAGTTAAAATTTTAGTTTATACGGTTTTTCGAAAATGTGACGCACGTCGCTTATTTATTCAGTTAGTCACAGATCAGGTTATAATAATGTATCTAGGAAAATTTTACCTTTAATAAGTTTAGGTTAGTAATTTATTACATTGCATCAATGTATTTTAATGACGTAGGGTTCGTTAGCTCGTTTTATACATGTACATCAGTCTAGGGTGTTGTCCTATTCAATTCGATAATTAGGTAAAGAAAATAATGTTACAAATTATTTCAATTTTACAATTATTTTTTAAAATAATGATATTAATAATAATAATAATAATAATCAATAATAATAATTCTTTGCTTTTTATAAAAGCTTTTTTTATGCAACAAGTAAAACAACAAGCTCGTAACTGTTGCCTATCAAAAAATGTTATTTAATATTTTATACGTTTCCTGGCGAAACCGATTCGTTTCAATACGGTGATATTTAAACACTTACAGTGGAAATATTTAAAACAGATTTGTCAAATAATACTGAGTAATAAACGAAAATATTTTTTCTATATTTGACTTTATTTTGTATAACATTCACAAGAAATGCTTGGGCTATGCTATTTTAGGCTATTACCTTTCTAAAAGGCTCTAGCTAGCTGAGCCCCTTCCCTCATAAGCTTTGACCAGTCCCTCTCCCCTCTTTTTTTTTGACATTTACAATAACAGCAACAAAAAAAGTAAGCAAATGAAGCTTCAAATTCATACCAGAAAATATCTTCAGTTATCACATGTAAATCGTATGTAGTGAGCCTTTTTATTCATGGATTTTGTTGCATCTGTTTTCTCTCTTTTACGTGTTCTTCAGTGGAAATTGATTATACTGGAGGATAGAAAATTGACACAGAAGTGAAGAACGAATGCAAATTTTCAAGTACAATTCGCTCGAGTCGTCAACATATATTAACATGATTGATTCGGATAGCTGTGCTATCTTAGATACTGAAGTGTAATCCCGTTTCAATCTCCAATCTTATACTTCACTGATTGCAACGAAGAAGACCGTGAAGAACCCGTTTGCGCACCACACAAGCGACAATTATTTTCGTCGTTTCTTTTGGTCACGTGGTCTGTGGTTCTTTTCATGTGTCTTATTCCTCGTGCCAGCGTAAGTTTCATAGAAACCAGTTACGAAAAATCGTTTTCAGTTACTTGTACAGCTTCTATTTTGCGTACCAAGTTGTTACATGATGTCCTCTGAGCCGATATAGACTTCAGAGATGTTATTTATTCAATACAATTAATTCGGCCAAAAGTCAACTTGGATGTCTTTGCCATTGGATATCCCAGGCTCAACCAGTCGTCAGAATACAAGGTAGACTAAGTCTGCTGCCTCTTCGTCTTCGAACAACTATAAAACATGGGGAGAAAACAAAAGGCTGTGTTAAAATAATATTGAAAACGTTAAATTACCCATTTAGAGTGGTAATCCGGGTCTTAAATGTATGCGGTCAGTCTTGATATGCTTAATAATTTCAGTGGCAAAGAATTTAGACTAGAACGCGCTATAACGTCTTGCACGCCAATGTTTGACCTTGTTACCAACAAATATATTGCACGGTCGCGCTCATCAAGCCACTTTAGTCTTCTGATAAATACTTTAACGTTTGGTCATTCAAGGAGCTTTGATTAGTTAACCCCGATATAGCTAAGGGTTAACCCTTAGACTGGAAAAGTAGTTCAATCGTTACTTATAACAAGCATAAGTGTATCAGTGTCCTGTTCCATTCATTTAGTCATCGAGACCAAGAATTTCATCTTTTTTTAAAAAAATAGTCTCCAGTTCGCTATACGCCGCACAGTGTGCTCCGATGTGTTACGGACCCATGCACCGACAATGGAACCATTCAGGCAAGAATCATCGAGCGTCATTTCCTGTGTTGCTCTTTGTTATGCATTATTACTTGCTGATTTTGATATCACTGTGGGCGTCCTGAGGCGTGAGGGCAATATTTAACTCCAATGATCATAAAGGGCCAGGGGCTCGTTTCTCCAAAGTCCCGATAACTTTTCGGGCCCGAAATCAAATATTCAAATCGAAATAAAAAGAATAAGAGCGCGGGTCCTGGCTTGCAAAATACTCCAAAATGTTTCATTAAATCATGTTGAAACTTTTATCTTGCATGTAAACAACAACAGCTTTACGGGCCAGTTAATTATCGGAACTTGGAGAAACGGGCCCCTGGCCCGAAATGATTGGAAAGGAACTCAAACCACAAAACGGCACTTTTGTTCACTAGAACATTTTTTTTTTATCTGAACCGTTCCCTTATTTACTTTCTAAAGTGCCACGCAGCTTATCGGAAACTTTTTCCGTGATTTGTTTGAATATTTAACCCACACAAGATCATACAAAAATGCTGTTTGTGAGGAGAACAAGAAGCGGAAAGAAGAAGGGCAAACTTAAAGCAATGGATACTGGCACATACACCAACCCACGGCCTGGCCAGTACCTCATGCTTGAGCATAGCCATATCACTGCACGGGAAGAGAGAACAAAGCAAATTAAAAAAAAAAAGCGTTCAATGTCATCGGCGGGCTGTTTTTCTTTAAACTGTATCTTTTAAAGGTCAAATAACATTGAAACCACACCTAGGTTAGCTTCCTTTATTGCTTTAATCAGGAGCCTTGTCCCGTCCTTTTTTCCTGCCCCCAACCTACAAATGCGAGTCACCAACCAGCGTTTTCTTGCCCTTGAATTTGGGTATAAAAGTCGTGCGGCCAATCTTAAATAAACTTTAAGGCAGCCTGCAGTAGTACGTGTCAGTATACTTTCATTGACGTCTTCCTACATGTTCTAAAAGTACGTTTGAATGGACACAAGAGACCGTTACGATTGTGAACTCATGATTCTATCATGTTCTATAGCACGCTCAGTAATTCAAAATATCAAGATTCCACACAGCCTTGAGGTAGCAGGAGGTAGCAGTTATTAAATGAAACATAACAAGACAAGTGGGAACGGAATCCTTGCGAAATCGATTAGCGTGAGCTTTCAGGTACAGCGCAGGGGTTCCAGACTGAAGGACACTACCGATCACTTTACGAATGAATGACGTCATTGCTACTTATGTCAACTTTGGATGATCCACAATACAGTTGCATCTTTTTAAAAATGGTTTATAAAATGAAAAATTCAAGTAAAAGAATGAATTGACTTGTCTGTTTCTATAATAAAGATCTTACGCTTTTCAACAAACAATTTAGTGACTTGTCCTCTAACATAGCGTGACTCTATCAATATTTTGCATGATCAGTAATTATCACTTAATGCTTGAGCGCATTGAACCATTTATTGGCATCAAGTTGTTGCCATATCAATCGTTGATTGTTATTCCGTAATGTTATAAGCTGACTTTGAAAGAAACATTAAAAATTTTCTCGCCACCACTAACCGTTGAAAAGTGCAAAAGCGATATACACTCGACCGGTTTTTACAACTTGTCTTTAAAATTCAATTGCTTCAAAATTAAGGCGGTGGAATTAAATCTGCAACTGATGCAAGCCAATTATGAACTAACCATAACACCTTATCAAATCGACAAAGCTGTCATTGTCGTAGAGGAGCTCTCTTATATAACCCGCTTAGAAATTTGACATAGGTAAGCACAATTCCTTTCATACTGGGGCTTCATAATAAACCATTAATATCAATTTAATTTCGTATAAGCATAGCTTACTTGTTTCAAATCTCTCGTCATGTTCTTGAGGCTCCTTTTCCTCCTTTTGTACGTTGTTTGCAGCTGTTGCCATCCTTGCGCGGTGAAAATTGTACAGCATGAACGTAATCGCCAGAAACATCATTAACACAAGAGCTGCAATTATGTTATTATTTAGCGAAATCTCCATCCCTACGGCGACTATCCCTTGCACCGTCTTGCACTCTAACTAGGTAAATTACCAGTGTTTCACTTGCCTCTAACTCGTCTTTTCTGGCGTTTGATCTCAAAGTGTTTTGCTCTGAAACAAGGAACAAGAAGGAAGGAACTGGCAGAAAGTCAACAATGTGATCATCAATCATTCGGTGTAACCTATGACGTCAATAGACTTAGACGGTCTTCTTGAATCACGCGACAGCTACTTAGTGCAGAACGTAGACAGACAACCTAAACAATCTCAAAAATCAATAATTTACTCTTCAAATATAAATTAATTGGCTCTTTTTCGATTACAAATAGCTTTGCATCCGAGGAAGGTGTTTAGCTGTACGTACATCTTCTCGCTTAGGCATTGAAATGACAGTATTGCATCAATGATGCTAATTAAGAATTATGTCAAGTGTATAATTCCCTTGGTTATTTGTCCTACTGTTTACATTAATTGGCCAATTTTTACAATAGCAGGTCATCAGACATATCTGAGGTGATAATTATATATTTGCCTAGATCTTTATAATGGAATAAATACTAAGTATCCATTTTTCGAAGATTTGAATCTTGAACCAAAAACATTTTTCTCTATTGATAGCGGATTGATCCGTTCGTGTGCACATTTATTTCTGCTTTTATTTGCAAGCAATGGAAATAAGACGTGAAACATGTTTAAAGACAAAATAATGTGCATCTGTGACTCGTTATTATCGATTTCTTTTTTCCCTACCATTAGCTGTTATTTTGGGTAATCGGCCATGAAATTTATTGGAAGTACCGTAATTTGTTTAAAACATCTTTACTAAAATTTTGAGGCTTTTTCAAAGTATACGACAGACTAAGTTCCAGTAGACGCCAATGGGCAAAGCTAGAGGGGATGGGACTTATGGGTACTCATTATGTCATTGATGCTACTTTGTAGCAAAAATTCGACTCCTGTTGAATTATTAAGATCACTTTCTCGGTTAGAAAAAAAAATAAAAATAAAATAATGGTAGAAAAAAATGAAACTTAATGAAGGCAAGAAAGTTTGCTTTCCTGGATAATGGGCTTTAGAACTGCCCTTGCGTATGGTAGGAAACATTGTAATCACAACTCCAACAGAGAAATCTGTTTTATCATTTTCAAAGCAAATCTAGCTATTATGGCGTGCCACTTCTGCCGAAATTAAGATTTACCTAGTCACTCTAGTGTGCTGTCATTAGGTACTTAGTCATATGTGTATAGATGGGTCATTAGAATTTCTTAATTTGTTATTATTAGCCATAATACCCGGTGCCATATACGCTAGCTAAATGTGGCAGTGGTTATTATTAGGCACTTACCTTAAGCTATTATAAAACGTTTAGTTTTGTTATTAGTCATTTAATACATTACTGGTGGGTGTTAACGAGAAAGTGCACCATAAATTCCCAAGTTGTCAAAATTACTTCTAACTCCCCCGCTCCCTCCTCCCCCCCCCCCCAATCACCCTATTCCACTCACCCTATGCAGGCGATGGAGGATACGTGATTAGTCCGTTAGGCTATGTCTACACTGTACTGGGTAGCTTTTCGTGTGGACGATACAAAAATTAAGCTACCCGGTACTGTAAACGGGACTGAAAAAGTCCTTTCACGCACATGGCTTTCTTCGCCAAAGCCGTTGACTGAGAGGCTTTAGTGCTTTACATCTCAATCCTCACTCCAAAAAATTAACTTCAGTTTCAGTGGGTTCCAGGCTACTTTCCTACTTATTCACTTCCGTTTGTCTGAAAACTAGCCTGCGTACAGCCGCCAGCGGCTGTACACAGGCTAATCTGAGAACCAGTTCACAGTACACCAGAGGTGGCACAGAACCTATGCGACATGTGACGCTCCACTCTCAGTTACAGAAATCGCGCCGAAATCACCGTTCTTATGTGTGAACACAAGCCCTATCCTGTATGATTTTCACCTCCGATCTATCCGGTAGGGTGTGAACACAACCTAAAGCTCAAAAGGATGAGACCATCTTTTCGTTTAGGTAATTTTATAAAGTGCTTTGTCTCGTTGAGGTACTGTACTGTCCCCAGTTGTTCAAAATGTGGATAACGCTATCCACCGGATAAATCGCTATCCACTGGATAGCGCAATTGGTTTCCCCTAACACTTATCCGTTGGATAGTGATTTATCTGTTGGATAGCGCTATCCAACATTTGAACGACTGGGGCCAGATGATTTAAAGCGAAAGGCAAAGCCGATGTTCCGGTTAATTATGCGTGATCTCTGAATGAAACGACGAATATAACAGCCTGGGTCAGGCGACATCAAACATCCAATCACAAATCACGCTCACAAAAAATGAGTCAAAGAGCTTAGAGTTAAATTTAAAGTGTCGATGGCCGCATGCAGTTGATCTGAGTTCATTGTACTTGTGCACTATGTCCAAACCAGGGTCTAAAAATTCTCTTACGCCTAGTTTTTACAGGTTCTGTGAACTCCAAACTAACAATTGGCATATTAAAAAGATAACGCTGTCGTGAAGAGTGCTCAGGGTAAGATTTTGTCGCAACCCTCCCTGTCTTCTCTTATGTTTCTGAATGGATAGACAATTTTCATTATTTGCTTTTTTAAAAAGACACACTTGGTATCGATTCTAGAACTAGGGTAATTACATAGGTCCTTCATAGTTAGTTAGTCCCCCACGCTTCCCGACCGCGTCCCAACATAACTCTTCAAGCATAATGAGTAAAGGTTGTTCACCCCAATTTGTATCACTCCCCACAGAGGACCACATAGCTGGCTCGGTCCCCAGCCGAACAGTTGTTTATAGACCTTTTTCCGATGCGGCGGCCATATTGAAGTCATTGGATTTAAGGAGTATTATGGGATGCCCAGGGGGCAAGAGCACGATCTGATGTACTCGCAACAGTATTTACGCGCTCTTTTCGGGCCAATTTTTCTTTAAGTTTTCCTAGCAAAATATTGTAATGGGAAAAACGATCGTTGTGTCGTGTTTGGATGTAATAATGATCACCTTTTTCCCGAGAAATGTACATTGAAGTGCTCTTTTTGCCCGAAATCGCGCGTAAATACTGAGCGAGTGCCCCCTAGGCATACCACAATACTCCTTAAATCTAATAAATTTAATCGGTAAAAAGGTCTACTGTCTCGATGCACCCGCCATTATAATTCACTCCACCTCATGGCTGGTTACATGAACTGGAAAGTCTGGAAACGGGCCACTTTAAATTTTTGCGGGAGATAAATTTTACCCATACTAAGTTACGTAAGAATATAAATTAAATTGAAGTCATTGAAGAATAACATAGTGTTGTTTGATGGGGAACACTACTTTGAAACTCCTTGATTCTCTTGCTTTAATTTGACAGGTTTGGCTTGATAATTTAACAGAGGAAAAAAAAAGAGTTTACAGATCATTTCGTTTCTCGTATGCTGGGTTTTGTAATTATCATGACTTCAAGATAGAGCAAACAGTCGAACCGAGCTAGGCGCCCAACGGCTGGAGACTGAGGCAAGTGACTGCAATTCCACTGATGTCTCGTTGTCGGCAAAGCATGTCTAAGAGCCAACATCTGTAGTAGTCTCAAAGAGATTTGTTGAAACAAAAGCTGAAATATTCCTTTTGGTGGGCGAATGAGGAAAAGAACTGGGTTGACAAGCCGAGAGGAAATGTATCGATAAAGACAAATATTTGTTTCGTTACAGGTAACAAGGCTATCAATAAATTATAATTGAAAGAATTTTATGAAGGTTTCCTGGCCTTTCATTTGTTTCATTTTATGCACTGTACTTGCCGAATCTGACGGAAGAAACTGAAAATATAAAGGTAAGTTACCCGTGCCTCTCCCCCATAAAAATAATAAAAAAAAAATAATAAAAAATAAAAAAATGTTAAGATATAATTCCCTCATACGATTAAAAGGGTAAAGGGGAATAAGCAAAATTTCACAAAACTGAAAACTGCGTTCACTGTTTTGGTTACATGTTTAGTCAACTGATGTGTTTCTTGGAAATAAAAATAAAAGAACATAACATTGAAATTGCATCTCTACTTGAATGGACATTTGTATATAATGACTGTTTAAGAAATGGACATTTCTTTTCAATTCTTCTCAGTAATAATCGTCGCTCGTTTGCTATATTTCATTCAATTCTCCCACCCCTGTAAAGCAACGTATTCTTAATAAATGCCGGGTTATGTGAAGGAGGAAAGGAGAAACGTTTATCGAAAATTACTTAGAAGAGATGTAGAATAATATCGATTTTTATCTTTTACTCTCCAAACTTCCAGCCCTCTCTATGCCTTTGAATAATTCTCTTGAACTGAAATGGTGTTTCATAGCGAAGTAAAACGGGTTATTGACAATTGCTATATTTTAGTAAGTATGTTCAGCGCGGAAACATTTCAATGCCAGTGTTTTTCAATTTAAGCAACTGGTTTTAACAGTGTAATGCGGTTTCAAAAGTAACTCAGTTATACTTACACTCCAAACAGTTGTAACAAGAGAGTATTTTAATTTACTGGTTGATCATTTGACTTGATGACTCAAGTGCGAGCTTAAACTGTAGTGGACTAGAATAAACCTCAGAATTATTAGTAATGGTTCCTACTAGACCTCTTGGAGCACAAGGTCGAGAGCTAGCCCCATAGCCTATTGTTAACAACAGAAGCTCACAACGAAGTTCACAATGAAATAATCTCTTTATCATCTTTACTTGTAGATAACTAAACTTAAAGCGGTGGCCTGGGTATTGCTTTCGTTCTTTTGTGCCGCCTGTGAGAGTACATTTATTAACACAATTTCAAGAACTAAAACGGCCTGAAGAAATGTTTGTTTGCTTCTTTCACTTGATGTTTGGTTGTTTTCCTAAGCCCAAACCAGATGAATGCTAATCAGGGAATAATTATCGGATTCTTTTTCATGGCATTGGCTGGAGAAATAGGTAGGTGCTAAAAGTAAAATTTATCAACCTGCAGTCACCAACAGTTTTTTCTAGCTTATTTGAAGACCGATCAGTACTCATGTGTAGCGACAAGTGTTTCTTAATTATTGGACTGAAGTGTTCTTGGTCTTGGATATTCAGGAAGTGTTTTTGGCCGAATGTGGGGAACTGTTTTGTCCCCATAGAAACCACTCCGTTGAGGTGCAAAATTAACAGGACTCTAAACGTGAATAAGATAAAGTATTTCGCTTTTCTATGATGCGATTTCTGGGGAAAGTTATTGTAACTGAGAAACCGTATCCGGAAAGGAAAAGCGAAAAATTCTTTCATTTTGCCAAAACTTGCTTACATTTGGCATTATTTCCCTCAGCTTAAAAGCGCCAGGTGCTATCTAAAAGTTTCATGTTTTTTTTTTTAATTTTATCATCTCCTGGCTCTGAAGATGAGGCAACCTGAAACCTGAAACTTAGCTTTTTTAAGACAATTTTTAAATCGTATATTTCTTTTTTTGGTGGGAGGATCAGGATTAGCCAAAGCTTCAAGATTAGCGTCAGGAGCCCATGAAATTCAGGGAAAATTTTGGTCGCGATGACAGAAAAAAGTATTGAAAATTATTATCAGATTATGAAGGCAAATCGTCGATTGCCAAGGAAAAGTTCAATAAAAAAGAATTGCATCTTAGTGCTTGGTGTTATTATTTTTCAGGCTGCCATCCCTCTCAAGTTCCAGCAGAGGATACTTTTGATGACTTTTTAACCCAAGAGGATATCACCGCTCTCACTAAAATACTTGAACAGGATGATGTATTGAAATCTACGAAGTCGATTTTAAAACATATCTGGCCTTTCAAAAAGTATCTGTAAGTAAATGATACAATTATCAGTCTGTAATTGGACTTACAACAATATGTTTGGGCAGTAAACGGGAGAAAAGACAATTCTCGACTCGAAAAGTATTACATTTGCATGCGTCGTGTGATGTTCTTTCACTTTGCTACAAATGTCACCTCTGTTTGGACACTGGCATCATATTCACTTCGAGGAAGGTCGACTGTTTATGATGTGGCAGATACATTTGCATGCAAATTTAGGTGCAAAGGGAGGAATATTAGAAAAAAGTTAAAAACAGATGCCGACAGATGCACTGGCTACATGTGTTTGATTAATTTTCCGTAAGTCAGAGTTCCGTCAAACTTATGTGCATATTAAAACTGTTTTCTATTTATGTAACCTTTAAAATTAGGTAAACAGGTAGGAAATCTCATGATATAGTTACGAGACGGTGGGCCTGATTATGTCTGACGTACCCAGCTGTGTCTATTTTTTCTTACTATTTCAATAAGCATTGTGTCTAACTGTTTCGCTAAAAAAACTGTGATTTTATTCTCTTTAAGGTTGCCCATTTTCAAAAAAATCCTTATTGGAATTTCAAAAAGCAAGAATCCAACTGATATTCTACTTGACATTATTCGTGTCCTCGAGGAAGGCATAGAGAAGAACAAGAAAAACATGAAACCACGGAAAGAAGAAAACAGTACCAATGCAGAGGAGGAGAGGACGAAAGAGGAAGAGGTTTACGAACCTTCCGCATCAGGTGAATCGGACCTGGAATTACAGGAATATACCAAAGAAATTCATCCTAAGTTCAAAATTACTGGACCCGAAGAATGGTAGCAATTGGTCCGAATCTCGTATTGTATCCGTTAGGACACACGTCGTAAGACAAGTGTTTTGACTCCGTGATGGAATGAAAATTTAAATTTTCGTATATTATAATGTTACATAAATGCAAGGCTCTGGTTAAGTGCCGAAGCCTCTGAGTTCTTTAACTTAATAAAGGTTGTTATCAGTCCCCTATTTCCCCGTAAGATCGTCGATATCAAGCACTAATCAAAATGCTACGGGGGTACCTTTTTTTTCTTTTTAGAGAGTCTATCCTGGGAAAGAGAATCAAATATACCTAGATGGCGAGGCACGGTTTGAAACGAGGTGAGAAGCCCCCACCGATAAATAGCCCGACCGCCCCCCACCCCCCCCAACCCCTCTCTAACATTCTGAAACCAAGAATAGCGCTCATAAAGGTCAGCGCTTGATCTTGCGATCTACGACCTTAATGAAGAAAAAAAAGGGGGCGTTTGTCAACATTCTACACTTAAAGTTAACAATATCCCACGTCCGTGCTTGATGTTGTAATATCCTGAGAGCATACCTATAATTTAAGCCTCTTGAGCTAATCAGTGCCCACTTACTTGACTCTTGGACTCGCACCGGTCTGCCAAGCAGGAGGTCCGATTCTTTCCTTAAAACAACCGAGGAAAATAATGGCCTCCTTTTAAACAGACATCTACAAATAGTTCGACATTTTAGTCTTCTAGGATAAGACAGTGACAAGAGCCCACCTCACAACCCTTTCACTGTTCTGATTCTTTTAGAGCATAAAATAACCCGAACTCTGTCGGTATAAAGTGTCGAGTAAAGAGAAGAGGATATAACGGCGCCGTCGCACTCCACCATCTGAACTCTTGGAGCAGGCTAGGGACGTAGACCTCGATGGCGTGGACAGTCTTTTATAAGCTGCAATGTGGGTGGATAATGTAGGAGTTGGTATAAAATGGGACAGAAGTCCTTATCTATCGCCTTCTGACCCTGCACGTTGACCACCATGGAACATTTCTTCCAAATAAACTTACCTTGTTGGCAATTCTCTCTTTACAAAACCAAAGAATTGTAATGAGATGTTAAGGTCGACCATATAACCTCTATCCTGTGTACATCTGCCTGGAAATCGTGCCTCCCTCATTTGTTTTGGTGGGGGAAGGTGGATGCACAAGAGTCCCAATGTAGATATCAGGCAGTTTAACCGAACGTCATTGTCAAGATTCGTTGTTTGTGAGAGTCTTGGTGTACTCGATGGAAAGGGCCTCTATTTTCACCCAAAATAAAGAAAGTACGACTAGTACTTATAAAGTTTCCACCGAAACATGCAGGGAGCAAGAATAAATATAAATGCCAAAACTCCGAAAGATAATAAAATTAAATCAATTTAATTCAAATAAAGGCTGTCTGGTTTTCTTTAAAGCATACATCTGGTTTCGTTATTACAGTAAGTTACACGAAGAGAGCAAATAACACGTTATACAGTACAGAAGCAAAATCTCTGACAAGGAAATTCCATGAAAATTGTGTACAAAAAGGTAAGGTCTAAACAAGCCAGGTCTTGACTTAGGAACACATAACTAGCTTTAGCCAAGGCTAAAGGGGAAGCGTTCATTTACATACTTTTAATGACTTAAACCCCCCCCCCCCAAAAAAAAAAAAATAAAACCAATAAGCTTCAACCTGTGCACTGCAAATCCAGGAATTTTTTACTTAACTGATTTTACCAAAAAAGTAGAAGATTATAAATCAAGTAATTATAGCAACACCCCTTTGAGAAGCCAATACAAAGCATGAGAGGGTAAACCTTTATCTTGATAAAATTCAATGTTTTATATAGCAAATCTAGATCTCTTTGGCTGCGTCCAGTTCACAGTTTTTGATTAGGTCAATCTTTTAGTCTCAAAGGGATTCTACCCAAATGATAAATTAGGCCATTTTTCGGTTTAGAATATGTTTTCTTTGCAAATAGCACAGACAAACTGTTACGTGTAAACTACCCTCAGGGGCACCCAACGGCAATTTTCGGGAAAATATCTGTTCGGAAGACGATTTGAGATCTAGAATTTTCGGAGCATTTGTTGTAAAATTTCTTGCTTGCCTGCCTCTCCTAGGATTTTCGAACATCAACAAAATGGTATAATTACCCATTTTAAACGGATTTTGACCCTAAAAAAGGCCACCTAGAATTTTCGAGAGCCTTTTCCTGGCTAAAATTTTCGGGAAGGTAAGTTTTTATCCCTATAATTTTCGGATCACTAGACTTTCAGCTAGGAAATCCGAACAGATGAAAAGTTTTTGGTGGATAAAAATATGCCTATATCTACCGTTTGAATACTAAAATACGTTCAACAATGCTATGTTAAGTGGTTTTGAACTATATCCTCGTTGGGTGCCCCTGTACCCTTTAGATTATACATCACGATATCTGATTTTCAGAAACCTGTACTGTCAGTTATACTTTTTGATTCTTCTGCCGAAAAGACTTAGAAAGGTTGATTTCTCCCTGAATAACCATAATTTTGTAGTCTACGCAAACTGCCCTTTGCGCCAGTGTTGTGTATTTTTATAATGCTATTAAATGGTGCGCTAGACATAAACTACATAATGAGTTGAACGTAAAGAACCAACCTCTAGTACGACAAGACAATGTGGAACCTCTAATTTGGTACATACGAGGACGGTCTCTAAAAGACCTACTTGTAGAAGTAAAACGTTGCCAACGACCTCTTTAGTACAAGGAATTCACTAGTGGGAAGTCGAAACCCTGAAGTCGGAACTCAGACGACGGAAGTTGCAATTCAGAAGTACACACTTGGTGCGTTTTTCCTTTTTAGTTCGCCTTTGGGACTTAACCTCTCTTTGATTTGAGAAGATACAATATTGCTTTTGAGGCCTAAAAATTGATCAGTAACAATATTAACAGTCACTTGGCCACAAAGTTGGAAGTTGGAAGTCAGAAGGCTCAGAAGCCGGACTCAGTGGCGGATCTACGATAGCGGATGCTTTCTATTCCTTTCTAAGTCAGAAATCATGACATCACCATCACTTCTATACCCTGCGAGCAGAGGCCCTTCGATCTTCCCAGATAAGTCGGGAAGATCGAAGGGCGTCCCTTCGCAGGGTATCACTTCTATTGTTAAAGGTCATTTACGTGTTAGCCAACTTCCTTGATTTTATTCAACACGACACTATTTAAGTCTTTTACGCTTGATGTATACTTTGAGGGAAATTTGTATTTTGTTTATAAATTCAACAATATGACGTCATGATGACGTCGGATTACGTCATTGTGTCAATCAAGTTATTCCAAGAAGTTGGAAATAATGAGCACATTATCCTGCGCAGGCGGCAAAAAAAAAAAAAGCCCGGTGTGAAAAAAGTTAATAAGCAAAAATACTAACTACGTGTGTTTATTAGTATAAGTAATAACATGATTTGAAGTAACATTTGGCATAAATACAAATATACCACGAGTGATATTTCGAAATTCTTATAGGTAAATTTGAGACAATGAGTGGTGTTTATGCCAAACATCACGTGCAAATCATGCTATTATTTGTTTATACTACTTCTCTCAAAAGGTTTCTAATTTTCGCATGTAAGTATTTCAAATTAAGCTGAAATACCACTGCTCTTAGCCAATCAGACTGCAGAAATTTCTCATGTAGTAGTATACAGGCTGAAATCAGAAATACTTAAACATGTTTATCAAACTGAGAAGCACCGTCTAGCTTCACCATCAATAGGATTATAATTTTCAATCAATGACTAATATATTCACGTGTATTTTAAAATGTGGAGGAGAGAAGGAACGCAGCGGCGGTTGTAATTGAAACTTTTTTCATGCCCCCCTTTATACCTTCAGTCATACTGGAAATTTTCGATACCCCACCCCTAAACCTTAACCGGAAACACTCGTAGCTTTGAGAAAAATTCCCCTCCCACTTGGTCATAAATTATGGACCATTTAATACCTCTCTTAATGTAATGTGATCATTTATAAACCTGCCCTAAAATTCCGAAAATAAGCCCCTCAATGTATATGCCCCTCCAAATATAAGCTCCCCAAATTCGTAACGCAAAAAGCCCTCCGTTAAATCGCCCCTCCAAATGTAAGCCCCCCGCTCGAAATTTCCCTCGAATAGAAAGTAAAACAAAGCAAAAACGGTAAATTTCCTTCCAAATATGGGGCCAGCTCAATCGATTTTGAAACGTAAATTTCCCTCCACGGATAAGCCCCGAATATAAGCCCCTCCAAAAAAAAGCTCCTCAAAAAGGGCCTTTGAAAAATATAACTTCCGGGGCTTATTTTCGGAATTTTGCGGTATCAGCGTGATTTCGAGGGAAAATTCCCTTATAACCCACTTAACCTATTAACTAAGGGCATATTCGATTGGCCGGTGACTCAGGCCACTAAATTTATTTTGTATAAACTCTATATGTCACTTGTTATGGCTTGCGTTGCTTTATATCAATAATTAACCACGATTTCCTATACGTCTAGTAATGACATGCATGTGGATGTAACAGTAGAGATATTAGGAGCGCGTGCAAGCCACAGGAGTCAACCCCGTTTCTCAAAAGCTCGGTTTGCAATATTTCGTTGGACTGGTTAGTAACTGTTCTTTTCTTTTCTTTTTTTTTGTTACTGGTTGATGTGCATGTTCCGCTTCATTTGAGTGGTCTATACTTGTTTACGGGCGGAACACTTTCATTAACCACTGACAACCCCCCTGAAAACAGGAACTTTCCCAGTTTATTAGTTAAAAGCGTTTTATCTTTCTGCAAGAACAGCTTGGATTTACTCGACTTGAACTACTTTCTTTTTTTGATAAAAATCGATACAGATATGCGGAAAACAACCAAAGATCAAGATATTACGGACTGAAGAAGAACCCTGGTAAAAATGAGAACTCAAGCGTCGGTTTCCACCGGAAAACGGACAAAGGAACTTCGACCAAAAAAAATCGAATTTGCTATATCATCGCGTCGCTTCGTGACTATAAACACTCAGGACACAAAATATTGTCCAATCTTTCCGTTAGGTACCCTTCTATTTCTTAAAACAGAAATTGTAAGAAAGAGCAGTTTTAGTTTCTTGTCAGTTTTAGCTTTTTCCCCGTATAAACATGATTAAAGATTTAATAACGTGGTATGATCATAAAGTTCACGGGGTAAACCCCTTCTCCAATTTCATTTTATTTATTTATATAAAGACTCACAAGCTATAAAATCATCATTCATCTGTTCAGTGCAGACAGTGGTCATTCGTTGGTTGTACAGGGACTTGGATAAGACCGAATCGTGTTTGCAATCTTTGGTGAGTACTTAGAAAGGTGTTTTTAACTTGCTGATCAATTTATCCGCGAGATGTAAATAGTTATATGCTTAAATTCACCGGATCGGGTTCTGCAGTCAGGCCAAGCGTCCCAGCTAAAGCGCCAATTTTAAAAAAAATTGAAATGGTTACCGCGCTGAAATTTTGAAAAAAAAAATCGATTTTGTCAACCTTAAACCACAATCAAATCAACACACGCCATTTAATACCGTGAATAAAAGAGAAAAATATTTTTAAAAAATAAAAATAATCCAGACTAATTTTCAAGTAAATTGGCGCGCGCGGTAAACTGACGCTACACGATCACGATGCATCACTCAGAATTGTGTCACTGAGAAATGGCAGCTTCTGTTAGTCTAAAGTTGAAAATGAGTTCCAAAATTATTTTCGGTCAACGGCAGCATTGAATAGTTTGACCGAAGAGAAGATATCTACCCTGCGCGTAAGTGTCCGCACGGTGCGTGTGCGCCAAAATTTCCTGTTAAACTGGCCCGATATAAAGTACATAGAATAAGAAATTAACAAGTTTCAGGGTTCGAAATTTAAGATCGATCAGTAAAAGTTCTTTCGTTGTAGAGAAGCCGGGGAGTAGTTTTAAAAAAACCGTTGGAGCTTAGAAAATACTTCGAACTGCTCTCAGTTCCATGTAAATCAGAAATTATTTTAATTAGCATAATAAGCAGCTCTCAAAATTATTATAAAATCCTATCACAGGCGCCACAGATTCCCAATTTTTTCTACGGGTCTCTCGAGTACATGTAAAGAATAAATAGGCTTAAAACGCGCTTTGGTCTGGTGCAGCGCCTGATCAACCGTTGTCGTTTGTAAATGCAAATGCATACAAGCTCTCATAAATATTACGGTATTCCTAAACCAAAACATGCTCCGCCTGGGTGCAAATACGCTAATTTTCGTCACGTAACACTTATGATAAGTTACCGTGTGGCACGTTTAAATTTTACGGGTACCAATTTTGCATTTATTTTATTGTTATTATTTTTTCCTGCAAGTAAAGTTCTCACAAAAGATACGCATATAACCTGGTACTTGGCAACAACTTGGTGTCAGCGGGTATTGCAGGTGGAAAAATTGAAGGGACTTTTCCCCACTTGCTCCGACGGGTCAGCCGGTCACGCTTTGATTGTTTTGAATGGCCGGCTCTTCAAGCCTGTTCCAGGCGTTCAGATAGTGGGGAGCGGTGCGAAGTAAAAAGGAGCGCGAAAGAATAAAAGCTAGGGAGGAGGAGAGGTGAGAGAGGGAATAAGTCCCCCTCTACGTTTCATCGCAGTCTTTACTTCGCACCGCTCTCCACTATCTGAACGCTTGGAACAGGTTAGGCCGGCTCTCAATGGGAAGACCTTAGATAACAACCGGACCTCAACCAGGTTGTGGCGTTCAGCGGTTTTAGTGAAAACAAGGAAACGTTACAGTCAAGAAGACTTTTGCAGGGACTGATCAAACAACGTAAAGTAGAGCTAAGTTGCGATATTTAGACTGGCCAATACCGCTCAGTCTCGGGGGCTCATAAAACCAGGTCTCGGTCGTTGAAGGATTTTTGTGAGCGCAAAACGTTACTCACAGGACGATCGTTTAATCCCACGTTAAGACAGAAAATTCTTGACGCGCTTTAAGAACTTTCGCTACAATAATGATGCTCACGACGATAAGTATGTAAACAGAGTTTATTGAAGCGAAGCGATGAGACGTTAACAATGTTGAAAAGAAGCGATGCGAAGCGAAGCGATGACTAGGCGGTGTAAACGAAGAAAACGATGTACAAAGCGGTTTCGAAAACTAAGAAATGAATACAGCGAAAACGATAGTTAGATTATCTAGAAACTACCTTAAAACTACGAAAACAAACTTTGGTCGATTTCATTAATACGATGCAAGAAAAGGCTATATAAAACGTAACTGATCATGCACAAAGTGAAAAGACTTACTTCTGTGCCCGCTTTAGGAATTTCATAGCGTTGACGTTGAGTCTTACTTTGATCTTAACACGATGACACGTTGACTAGAACTGAAAAAGTTTCTTGAGCACGTGCGACAATGCTAACTAATACAAAGGATAATAGATTTCTTTGTTTGTAAATCATACGTAAGCAGGCATATCCGCGGCAAAAACCACAAATATACGGAAAACCAGAAAATATTTGGCAGTAACAATTTTCCTCTCAATATGAAACCGACAATTAAAAAAAAGGTCTTAGGAGATTATGGTTATTTAATTTCCAAACATTATACTCTTGAGATAAGATTTTTCCTGACGTTTTTTCGTCATAATTAGCGGAATGAATCCCGGAAGTCCGTCTTTCCCATTAATGCCCCCTTTAAATTTAATTTTATGGAAGCTCCATAACACTCTGTTTAAAAGTTTTATTTTTTTATTTGCAGATCATTAAGAAATCTTTCCTGAATTCACCATGCTTAGTCAGTACATGTGTGTCTTACCTGATAATGACAAGAAGCCTTTTGATCTTCAATACCTGTGCCCGTCCTGCAGAAATGTGCTGAGAGATCCAATACAAACTAGTTGTGGACACCGATACTGCAGGTCTTGTATAGAGGAGTTGTTAAGGTAATTTTAAGTTCGACCGTCTCCCTCTTAGGTCATCAGACATCGTAAAATACAACAAGCAAACGGAAATACTAATACGTGACTAAAAGTGGAGTGGGAAGGGGAAACAAGCACGTGGAGCTGCAAAATGAAAAATGGGAGCAAAACTTAACTTGAACAGCAGTAGACTGCGATTGGTCTCTTATTTTTCTTTGCAAAGCTATTGCACGCGAAACCCAAGCACGCCGCGAGCCGCGATAAACATGGCGTCTTAAAGCCCGTCCCAGTCCACGTAACGTCGTGGAACTAGACGGATTTTAAGAGAAAAGGCGGACCGCAAGCAGTCTAACCCTAGCAGTAACGGGCTCAATTTTCAATTCTAGGGTACAGGTTTGTTCCCATTTTTTCATTTTCCCTTTCTCGGTGCTTGTACCCCGCTCTCCGTTCCTCTTTATAGTAACTTCCGAAATTAAATACGAACCGGAAAATAAGCACCTCATACCATAAGCACACTTTATGTTATTACTTTGTATATGTAAGAAACACTTTACGGACGTTACGAACCGCCGATGCTGACCTGCCTGTGAAGTACATCTTTACTGAGTTGCAGCCACTGCAAATACTTAATGATCTATACCACACACATGTAAAAACAATTGTACACAAGCACAAAAATGCATGAGGTTTATTGTCGCGTGGCGTTAATGCTATATCATGGAATTTCTCTCTGATAAACATTTTGTTTCTTTTTTTGTTTCGATTTTGTAAGGTCGTCTTCTGGCAAGTGTTTGGTCGATAACAAACAAATCAAAAGGAAAGAGGTAAGTACTCTCTTGTTAGCTCTTGTTCTTGTTCTCTTGTTAAAGTTTGAAGCTTTAAAGGACGGAAAAGAACTTACTTTGCCAACGAACAGAGCAGAAGATTTAGACTTCAGCGTGTAAGATAAAAAGAAAATCCGCTTTTTTAATGCCAGCAGTATAGAGCCTACTTTTAATTCAGGCTGAATCGTCTCTAACAAAATAATGTACCATAAAATCATTTCTTTCTTAGATTTTCGAGGACCATTTTGCAAGACGCGAGATTCTGTCGTTACCAGTCCAGTGTACCAACCACGGCGACGGCTGCGATTGGAGAGGGGAACTGAGACAACTAGAAGTATGTTGTATTACGTCATTGAAAATATTCTGCCGTTTCGTTCTTGCTTTAAAAAATAGGAGAACAACGGATCCCTGACGGCAAATCTTCGTTCTTTTATTTTACGCAATTGACTATTGGTGTCGTTTCCCCCTACAAGACAGGAACGCTAGGGTCGCATTAAGTCTTGTTGCCTTAATGCTCCTTTTTGAATACCGCTCCCTGTAGCTTTGACCATGTACCAGCCTTAAACATTTTACTCCTTTGTTTCACTGCTTAAGGTTCACATGGAAAAATGCTCATATGCAAAGGTTCAGTGTATGCATTCTGGTTGCGGAGCCCTGGTACCAAGGGACGATTTGCCTCGCCATCTGACTGAAGATTGCAACTTCAGGCAGGTGATTTGTCAGCTGTGCAAACTGGAGACAACTGCTGACCAGTTAAAGGTAACATTTGTCAATGAGTTTATTAGATTAAGAATTGTTTAATTAGAAAGGGCGGACTATCCGCCGCAAAGCAAGCTGCAGAACTTGCGAATCTTGATTGATTGATGAATCATTTCAAGGAATCGATGTATCTCTCGATGAAGCTTTCTTCTTATGACGATATATGCCCTTGATCATAAGATTTTAATGCTCCGATTACTAGTCCAAAGTTTTGCAGATTTGCCCGTTCATGTTCTGTAAATGATATTTAGTCATTGTGTCTTCTTGCAGCAACACCACGAAGCGGACTGTCAGGAATACATCGTAGATTGTCCGAAATGCTTCGCTGTAAAAATGCCACGAAAACAGGTAAATTGTAATTAAAGTCAAATTCCACGTAACTGTGTGCATCGGATTCTTGGCTTTTCGTTTATTCCTCCATTCACCCACAAGGCTTACTAGAAAGTCGACTGATAAAAGCAAGGTTCTTATGGTGTCTTCGAACGATGTTTCCTTTTGAAAATTTGTCTCAGAAAGTTTAAGGCTAAGCTCACACTACAGTCGACTCGCGTTATTGCGGACACCCTCGGGGGAAGATTTAGTGTCCGTTATAGCCGGGTACGAGAGAAAAAAATTGTTTTCTCCTTAAACTTATGAAATAATATCTATAAGTCCCAGACGCAGTGTAGTTTCGACAATTCTTTACTTCTTTTAACTGTGGACCACAATAGATTATAAAGCAATCCCACTGTAGCTCTTGATTAAAGGTAATAAGATTGTAAATAGATCTGAGTATGCTGTAGTATCACTTCCAAGCTCCTGCAATGACAAAGGATGCATAAGAAAGGGCTAAAATGTTAACTTGCTGTCAAATACGTTTTTTATTGTTTTTGGCATGCGCAGCTCTTTTATCGCAAAAATGCTGCACAGAAACCTGTGTAACGACTTTTACAGTAGAGTGTTAAAATAACGCGAAATATTTGTAAGCTCTAATGGCAATGTCTTTTCTCCCTTTATGCTCTACAGCGGTCAATTGTTTACTCTTTTACAAAGAAACAGGCGATAGTACTTTGTATCACTTTTTCCTTTACTGTGACGTCGCTTTTTTCTTTATGTTGTGCTAGTCAGGATTTTTGACGAAGTACTCAAGTATCAGCTATATCAAGAGAAAAAAAAACAAGTGAACTGTCGCGCTTGGGGGCAGGAAAGTGTCCGCATTTCCGTAATAGCGAGCGTCCGTAATAGCGGGAGTTTATTTCAGTCATTTCTTTACTGTGTTTCGCCGGGGGGACTGGTTCTCGCATTGGCGGGGTGTCCGTAAGGCGAGAGTCGACTGTATATCGGATATCGGCGCGAAAATCATACCGGTTAAGGCTTCTGTTTACACACAAGAACGGTTGTGGCAGAGTGATTTCCGTGACATAGCGAAGCTGCGCCGCCGCGCCCATCTCTAAAGCGGAGAGTCAAAAGCGGCGCTACGAAAAGCTATCCTGGATAGTGTGAGTATAAGCTAGTCTGTAGATCAAGATGAGCTATGAATTACATACTAAAAGCTAATACATACATTCTTGGAAGTTCCCGGGGATTGAACGATTTTGCACTTTAAGAAGGCAAGACTGTGTTCAAAACTAAAGGAAAGTAGAATAATATAACGCTTACTATTAATCTACAACAGCTTTCGAGCCACCTGGATTCTGTCAATGGAGATTGCGAAGCTTTTGAGGCACCTTGTCCGTTCCACACCGTAGGATGCCCGGATAAAGAGGTTGGTCTTGTGAAAACATACTGTTTTATGCTTGAAAAGCCAAAATTTTCCATGCAAAGTATTGTTTAATCCCCTTGTCACCGTAAAATGTAAATAAATACTTACCTCTCAAGGACAAAATGTTTTAAATCAAACTATACGATGTGAAGAGAAAATTAGTACGAAGCTCTCACTTCAGTTCAACATCGCACTTTTTATAGACAGAAATATGACAAACCCATGTTTTTGTTCTTTTTAAATTCATTCATGCTTTCAAACTTCAGGCTTTCGGCACAAAGTCTTCAAGCCACACGAACATATGTATATTGCTTCCGTTTTAAGTACCCACACTACCTCTTTCAAACTACAGAATTTATAATCCTTTGAAAACAATCGCTTAGAACATAACATAAGTCAACGAGAAAAATGTGATAAATAAATGAAAACAAAATAAGGCCCTTGAACGTAGCTAACTATAGGCGTGCTTTTTTTGTTTTCATTTTTTATAGCCAAGAAAGAGAAAAGAAATCAAGGATCATCAGGGTAAAATGGTGACAAATCACCTTAACTTTCTCCTGTTATTTGTGCAACAACTGTCAAATTTGGTGTATTCCAAGATTGATCATGCAAATACATCAACGGAAAAACATCGACTCTTGGAAACCATGGATACCACAATTCACAACTTACTACAAAAAGTAGAAAATATCATAGTAGAACAGTCTGACATGTCGGAACTGCTTCAAAGCCATGGTACACGCATTAGTGATGCTGAAAAGTGCATTGAACGCCTTTTAATAGATGACGTCATACCTGACAGTCCTCCTTTAAACTCCATGCATCGTTGGTCTCAAGCGGATATAAGTCGTGTATTGCATAGGTTGGACAATGCTGATGCAAAAGCAGCTAATCATGAAGTTCTGTTGGTTGAAATGAACGCAATGGTGCAAGAAAAGACCAAACATGTCAATGTCTTAGAGACTCAGCTAAGAAATGCAAATGAGGAAATTAGGAAACTTCAACGGCGAATGGAAACTTTGGAGTATAATTCAAGTCTCAGGAATATCGCTACCGCTGATTTAGAAGAACATATTAGACAGCAGGAGTTTTCGTGCAATGATGGTGTCCTTATATGGAAGATCACCGATTTTGCAAAGCGCAGGAACGAAGCCATAACTGGCAAACAGGTGTCTTTCTATAGCCCGTGCTTTTACACTAGTCGCCATGGCTACAAAATGCGCGTGCGTATCTATTTAAACGGTGACGGCGTCGGCAAGGGAACGCACATTTCACTGTTTTTTGCTGTCATGCGTGGTGAGTACGACGCAATACTCCGCTGGCCATTTCAACAGAAGGTTACACTCATGTTACTTGATCAAAACAATGTAGAACATGTAATCGACGCCTTTAGGCCGGATCGCAATAGTTCATCTTTTCAGAGACCAAGAAGAGAAGTAAACATCGCTAGTGGATGTCCTACATTTTGTTCCTTATCAGAGCTACACAACCAAGCCTACGTCAAAGACGACACCATGTTTATTAAAGTCATAGTTGATACCTGCGATGTATAAATTTTGGTAGTTTTTTTTATACCGTCTGTCTAAACCCATTTAGCTAGCCGTTAAACTATGACGGAATTTTAACCCAAATGTACTCTATCTGTTAAGTTTAGATTGAGAGCACAGCTGATCTGTAGAAGAACAGTTAATTTGCAAACAGATTACACTGATCAAGTGTCAGACAATTTTTGATAAAAATTGATATTGTTATATAGCTTCATAGTTTCTCGTTGTAATTTTCCCCTTCCGCTGCTGGCTCTGTACATAATTTTCTTCATCGACAGTGAAATACAAGAAACTATTCCCCTCCAATTTCCGAGATGGTTTTTCACCTTTTTACAAGGAAAACTTCAAGAGAAACTCCGCATTGTGGCCTTTTCCAGTGAATATCTGCGAGGCAACTCGCAAAGCGGAGGCGCTACAACTGAGCTGCAAGCGCCTCCAAAAGGCGGGAATTTTGGCCCGAAACTCCCACACCTCTGTGGCCTTTGATTGGACGTATCATTTTTCTAACGAGAAAAAAAAAAACAACAAAAAAAACACAAACAAATCAAAACAAAACAAAACATTGTCCTACTTCTGTTTGGACGTATCACTCTAGGCTAATAATAAATACTGCCTTAATTCAGGCAATCACTATTCAATCGATTCTGCAATGGGTTATTACATTCTGCAAATAGAGCCATGTTACTTGACCCAGAAATTCGAACTAATACTGATTTCCCTTAAACAGTCAACCACTTACTGTTCCTCTTTTTTTTTTCTTTTCTGAACTTCATGATCACTGATTAGACCTAATTGCAATTTTCTTTTCCTTAGGGAGTTCGTAAATAGGGATTACATCATAAAATAAAGACTTGTTTCAGTGTTTTAATCCTTGAAGTCCCAAAGTCCCATGATTTTTCAATTTCTGTTTCGTATTAGAAAGTGCTGATACAGCACATTTAAACGAAATATTGTAAATACCTATGTGTTTTTAATCAAGGTCCGAAGTTCAACGTTTTGCAAAGTCTAAGACTCCTTGTGACTATCACAAGATTTTGTGAAATATCAAGGTCCTTAATGCCATATTTAATGACCAAGAGGTGCGCTTGGATCAAAAGTATACCCAAAATTTAATAGCCGCGTTTATTAGACTGGAACACTATTCTGCTTAGCTGTCGACTACCCAATTTCTGCTCGAGTGCACAAACTTGGAGCGTCACGTAACTTGAATTTAAAAAGCAAATATGAAAAAAGCTGAACCCAACAGGGAACTTACTCGTAATTTTTTTTAGCTACATGTATGACGAACGTTTCGTCATAACTTTTTCGGTTGTCACACGATGGCTATGAAACTATGGGAAGTCCTACAGATATCATTCAGCAATAATATGATATAATCTGATTTTACTGGTGGTAAATATTTCTAAGGAACCTAGCGCCCTACTGTTCAAAGAAAATTGCGTCTAGTGAAAAAAAAGCTGATAACTTTGACTGAAATTTCTGGCTCTTACTCATGTAATCTGAGTATGCCACATAAATTTCAGAGAAATTGTTGGATCAGAAGTCCGTAACTAGGATGTTTTTCGAAATTGAGCTCTTTTAAATTGTTTTGGAAATTTGAAAACCTATCTCTAAGGAAGAACGAACCACCAATTCGAATTTACGGGACAAGTAATTCCAGTGTTTACTTATTGTTAAAACAAAAGTCGATTGCCAATCGGGATATTCTTAAAGAAGTCAGTACTGTTTAGTTTTAAAAGCACTATAGACTGTTCACAGTCCCCTATTTTTCGGTGAGATCTTCGAGATATAGAGCGTCTTACCATTACATTAATGGCGGCCTTGATTTTCAAATGTACCTAGGGGGCGGGCGTCGTGGATTATACCGCCCCGCCCCCTACTTAGTTTTGACACTTAGGCAAGATGGTGGCCCTTAACGCAAAGCGCTCGATCTCGACTCGACGATCTTACGGGAAAATAGGGGACTGTGAACAGTCTAGAAGCACTATAAATGCTTCAAACTGCTGCAAACTGCTTCGAATTGCTCTGAATTCGAATGACTTTTTCCTCTACATTTTTGAAATATCTCCCTCTACCTCCGAGAAATTTGTTTTTTGTAAGTTCCAAAACAATTTCACAGCTGAATTTTGAACGACTTTTAGTTACGGACTGTCGGTTCCAAAGATTTCTCTGAAAGTTTACTGTAATGTTTATCAATAAAAGCCGATACCAGGCATTTCAGTCAAAACTATCACCGAAATTTCAGTTTACTGGACGCGGTTTTCTTGAAATCGTAGGGTATACTTAAGCGCTAATTTAGCAAAAAAACTTTGGGCAGCAATGAAATCGGAATACTTCAAAATCCTGAAATGTTTTTGAAAACGCAGGTCGCCTGTTATCCGAAACATCTGTTTTTGGGTCTCAGTATTTTGGCTGATTAGATCTCTTTTCTAGAGATCCGACATTTGTAGCCAGCAGGATCTTCGTCCACAGTTTTTACAGTTAATTTTTAAATTAAAATCCCTTTGTATAAATGACGGGGCCACCTTTAGATGTCTTAGATAGTCAAGGCATTTGCGGGGCTCTTTCTAAATTTCCAAGTTTACTCTGAGTGATAAAGCGTCTGAGAAGGCCATTACAAACGGAAAAAAAAAAGATAAATAAGATGGTGATGATAATAATAACTTCATCGCACAAACATTTGCCCTCATTAGAAGGATTAGAAAACGTGTCTTGGTGCATTATATGTGCCTTGCCTGCGTGCAGACGTCTCCTATTTCCTTTGTTGCACGCGGAAAAGGTGGGACCTTTTCCGCGTGCAACAAAGGAAATAGGAGACGTCTGCACACAGGCAAGTTTGTGCCCTTTGTGGTCGTATGGGCACAAAAATGGCATCCCGATATACACATTTTGATGAAGACTTGGCAAGGTTGTTTATTAATCGCCATTCTACGTTTTCTGATAACTCAAATTCTTGGCTACAATCATGCAGTGGTTTGGATTTTTAATTAGTTTTTGATGGCAAGTCAGTAAAAACTTCTATTAATGACGTTTGTTTTCAGTGGCTAAACTCTCTCTTCTCGTTAAAAGTTATAGGACTTATAGCGTGATACTAAAAAGTATATAGATTTGGAATAATCATCTCTAAGAAGTTGGAGAAGAATAATTGAATAGCGATCTGCAAGACATTTTACAGTAAGATTGCGTTTATTTTCAGTCTTCACTCACTTTGCACTGTGAAATGCGATCTACGTAGCTAATGGATGGACGGATGATGACTATAACATTATCATAGTGCATTTTTGGGATCCGAGCGAAAAAGCGGAAGATTATCAGACGTCCATACGTCACTTCATTTGGAATCGCGGCAAAACATGACAATGAAAGAAGATTACAAATGACAGGTGATATTGTGGTATTAAACAATGAGAGGGATTTTTCCCTTTCCCATAATGCTGCCTGCTTGTCACGCAAGTTTTACTTTCGGCTTTAGGCAGGTAAGTGTGGATACTGCATCATGATTTGAAACGAGAAATTATCACTTTTATGGACACAGTACTTCAAAAACGTTTTGCCTTTAAGACTCGATTGCAAAACAAAATGCTATGCTTCGAAAATACGATGTTAAACAGCGAAATATTCCACATTCTGTAACGCTGGCTAAAATATTAATAACGACTGTTCGAATAAGATAAGTTCTTGTTTTTGATCAACGTTTTTTTAGGTCGCTGAGAAGCTGGATATTCTGAAGTCAGAAGGCTGAGGCAATCGAGAAAGCCTACCGCTGTTCTTCTTGGCCTATAAATTTCTCAAAAGCAGAGACGAAAGGTATTAAGCGTGGTCAAGCAAGCTAAGTAGAAGAAGGTTGAGAAGGCGGAAGTTCGCAGTACGGGGTTTTTAAACAATGAGAATCATAGCAAGCCATTGCACGCTGAAGCAATCTGAACAGGAGCGCTGACATACCATTTTTATCTGCAGTGGGATGGAAGAACGCATCTTTAAGCACTCAGATGCCGTTGATATACAAGCTGATACAAAACTTGACCTTCCACTAAGTCAGTCGAAAACAACTAGATTGGGTTAAGATGGGGTGGCGGTTGGAGTGATTAGCAGAAATAATCAGAACACTTATTTTTTCCGTTTACAGGTTTTTGTTCTATCCAAGCTGGCGTGGGAATTTATTGTTGCTGCTGTTCTCAAAATCCCCAGCGAAGACAAGAGAGACCTATCTCTAGATCTACTAATCTTGCTTACAGTGTTCCAAACCTTAACCGTGATTTCGATACAGATGGCTGGATATCGACTCTCCCTTGATGACCAGAAGCGAATTCCGCCCAAGTACATTTGCAACCAGTGCAGTTTTGTACTACGTGAGCCAATGCAGACGCCTTGTGCTCATTTTTATTGCAGGACTTGTTTAGAAGACTTGAAAAGGTAACGAGCTTCAACCTTCAGATCTAATTTATTAGAACTGGAAGGTTCTAAAAATGTTAAACAGAAAATTGCATTCGCTAGGATATGTACTTCGCTTCTTCTTTTGCTCATGATATACACCTGATGTAATATAACGATGACGATTTGATATAACACGCAGTACGAATTGCTAATGTTAGACTTGAGCATAAGTCTGTCAGATATACTCCCTTTAGTTTCCGCGATAGAGAATGTTGGTTTAATTGGTTTCCGTAATAACAGTGTTTTACAGAAAGGTGGAAGGGTGGTGTGAGTGTGTGTGCGTGTTTGTTTTGTTTTATCGTTTTTTTTTTTTGAGGGGAGAAAGGGGAGGGGGGAAGGGGGGAGGGTAGGGGGTGGTGGGTTTCTGGGTGGTTTATTAATCCCTCGCCCGCGAGGTGCTGTCCGGTCTTTCTCCTGAAATATACTCAGCATGGCTCAACCCATCAGGAGCATTTAGTACGAAGTCAAATCGTGTTGTCGTTTCCTTGTTTCGTCGTTTCTTTGTGTCACTTCGTGGCTTCGTTCCGTCGTTTTGTCCACCACTTTCTTTTAATTTCGCCGTTTTCTCGTCTCACTTTGTTGCTTCTTCCCGTCGTCTCGTCGCTTCGGTGTCGGTGTCGATTTTTCACTCGTCTTGTCGTTTCGTCGTTTCGTTTCGCCCATTTAACAGGGTAAGCAAAGTTAATGTTGATTTCTACTGACGCATTTTTGGCTACGCAGGTTAATGCACTTAAATTTTAATCACGTAAATGAAATAGAGGCAAGATAAAAAGTGCTGAGCTTAAACGAGAAATTGAGCGGGGTTCAACTTTGACGCTCACGAGCGACCTTTCATCTTGCCTCTATTTTACTTGCGAACGTAAATTTTACGTAGACGTACGTAGGCACGTAAAAATTGCATGTCACTGGAAATCAACCCTTAGTTTGAGTTGGCGGGGAATTCGAGTTATCCGAGTTGAGTTATTGAGATTCTGTATTAGCATTTCGTACATACACTGAATTTCTGAAACAGGACGTCAAATGTGGCCTCTTAGGAACCACTTTTGCAGTTTTTATCCGCTTGAGCTAACAATAAAGTTAATACGTTTGCAGGATGGTATAGGACTTTGTATTCCAAACAATCGTATGTTTTTTGTTTTTCGATTTTAACAGTTTTTGACGGGAAAATGACGTCACAGGATTGACAGAAAAATATAAAATTTAAGTTAAGTAATGGCGTAACCAATAGGTGATTTTGAAAGAGAGTGACGAAATAGAAACAAGAGCCATTATGGCTCTTGATAGAAACAAATGTGAAAAAGTTTTTTGAAAAGCTCAATCGGGTAAGGAATTATTAAGTCTTGACTTTTGAAATTCCCGCCATTTTGTTACTATTTTTAGAAACAGAAGCACATTTAGAAATGCTTAATCTCCTAAAGCAATTGAGTTTTTCAAAAAAAATTTCACATTTGTTTCTATCTCGTCACCCTCCTTCAAAATTACCTATTTGTTACGCCATTAGTTGAAAATATTTTGCTCTCAATCTTGTGCCGTCATTTTCCCGCCAAAATCCGTTAAAATCGAAAAACAAAAAAATGCTATTGTTTGGAATACAAAATTCTACCATCCTGCAAACTTTGAGCTCAAACGGATAAAAACTGCAAAAGTAGTTCTTAAGTGGCTACGGTTGGAGTCCTGTTTGCCCACCGTAATGATCACCGCTCATAGACCAAGGCAAAATCAGATGTTGATCGAGAGGAGCAAACAAACAATAATTGGCCGTCTTCACTACAATCGGAATAGTAACTGACCCAGTAAGAATAGTGGTTTTAAGGGGGCGGAGGGGCGGGGGTTTGTAGTGTTGATCCCGCCTAATACCAAAGGAAAGTAGAATAAAAGGAAGGATAAATTCCCTCCGGGGAAATTTACAACCGGGCGTTTTCGCTTTTCCTTCTCTTCGTGTTTTTGCTGTGACTGTGATCTGTACAAAAAAAGAATAAGATAAATAGCCATAACGTCCAGGAATGGTATAATTATATAGAAAATGTGACAATATTTCCGTAAATCACAAGCGACCAGATAAAATTCTCCCAGTAGGTCTTATATATGCTTGCAACTTCACCCATTTTTTCCTTACATATTTTTCTTAACTAACTTGCATTTCAACCATTCATTTTCTTCAAGCGGAGACACGACTTACAAATGTAAAGTTGACAATGAAGAGTTTAACACCTCAGAGGTAATTAAGACACTTGACACAATTCAACCTAAAGCATGCATTACTCGGGGAGGCTCCACTCTGCCCCATGTCCAACTCTTTACCCTTTTAATATATACCATTTTTGACTGACAACGTATCGCTTTCGTATACCTTCTACTGAAGAATGATACCCCTCTTACTTATCTCTAGTCTTTTTGGAATAAAGTTAATGATGATATATTATTACGGAAAAACACTGAAATTAAAAAATGACACATCCGTTAGATACGGGAGCGTATGTTTGGATGGTTGTAAGTTGATTTCACTACGCAATTCTGCCCTTTTCTACTATTTAACAATAAATATATTTTAGTTGGCGACCAATTAATTTTTATTAATATATATATAGAAGTTGGTTGAATAAAATGTCTTTCGTACTTTCTGTAACTTTCACTAGACCAAGCGTTTTTTTAGAAGTATTTAAATGGTTCAACGACGAAAATGCCATCTTTGGTGCTATCCATTGAGTGAACTACTCTTTGGTCTTTATAATGATAGGAAGAATAAAATCCCTTGGAAATTGTCAAAAAGCCAGATTTTACTCTTTTGTTTGCGAAACATTACGACGGACAGCTCCAACATTGATTGTTAAGCAGATTGAAATAACTCCCTCGTTATTTTTTTCTGAAATAACTTGCGTTATAATTTAATCATTGATTCATCAGAAAGGTTAAGTTTCACGTTTATGTCAAACGTCAAAAGCGAATTTGCAGCACGTGGCCAAGTTTCGCCTTTACTTTTCGTTTACTTTTCATTATTTGTGCACATAAATTATAGTAGTGTCACGCAATGTTTTATCCGTAAGAATTTTTTTGCGCTGTTTTTATCTGCTCATTTTCTGTTTTGAGAAATTCTCAACTTGAATCTGACGTCAGCCGTTTGCCGTATACGTGAAGCTGTTCCCAGTACAAGAAATGAGATGAGGTTAAGTTTGTGTATAATTATATGATGATGATGATGATATCGATGATGATCATTGTAATGACGATAATAATAACGATAATGATTATCATGATGGTGATGTGTCAATGAATACAACTAGACAGTCTTCCAAAGTTCTAAATGGAAGTGTTCATTTTGCAGGTATTTCCTGATGGCTGGGTCAGAAATGAAATCAATCATTTAGCTGTACACTGCCCTCACAAGGAACGCGGTTGTGACTGGGAGGGAAAGATAGCCAGCCTAGAGGTGAGTCTAAGGTTCTACCTCTGTATTATCCCTGATTAACAATGTTATTCTTGCGGAAATCCAGGCATAATATAATAATTTCTACGAACATTATCATATAGAAGAAGAACAACAGCAACAACAACGACGACGACGACAACAACAGCAGTAATATGAAAATTTGAAAATCTACTCTTTGTATTACGCAAAAGACACAATAATTTATAAAACATTACAGTAATAATAGATATTAATTTAGGACCTACCTGGTGTACAGACAGGTCTTTATTGTCATGGCAATAACAATCTTACGGATAGATTTCTCAGAGTAAAATAAGGAGCCTTACCACGATTTAGCGTCTTGGGTAGCCTGTTCTTGATCGCGGAGCAAGGTTGAGAGTGAAGGGTTAAGGTTGCGCGGAATTAATACAAGAGCATTTAGCTGGGACAAAGTTTCCGTCATAACTTTTTCGATTTTAACGCGATGGCTGCGAAACTTTGCAAAGAACAACAGATATCATTCGGCAATAATACGAAATATTCCAATTTCATTGATGGTAAATATTTCTTGAGAAATTAGCGCTTAAAAGGACCCTAATGTTCAAAGAAAATCGCGTCTAGTAAAAAATTTTGCTGATATTTTTTACTGAAATTTCTGGTATCGGCTTTAATTGATATAATAAATATGCCAGAGGAATTTCAGAAAAATCGTTGGAGCAGAAGTCCGTAACTAAAAGTCGCTCAAAATTCAGTTGTGAAATTGTTTTGGGATTTCAAAAATAAACTACTATCAGGTAGAAGGAGCCACCAGTTTGAATTTTCGGGACAAGTAAATTCAACGTTTGCTAGTTCTTAAAACAAAAGCCGATTGCCTATCGTGCTATTCTTTAAAAGGTACTTTTTAGTTTTAGAAGCACTATAAATTGCTCCAAACCTTGCTCTGAGCATAGTTATTAGAGGAGACTGGTTATGAAAAGCGCAAACATCAATGATAAAAACAACAGTGCTGCAGTTTATGTTGGAAGTACCGTGAAAGTGCACAATCCTTTGTTTTCTGTTGGCAAATTGTTACGGCATAAATTAATGCAACGTTTTTATTGGTCAATACAATCAAAATGATAGGAATTCTTTTGAACGTTGTGCACTTTCAGGTCCACAAAAACATATTACAAAGGAGTCTGACGGGTTTCATAACCATTCCACTCAATTAACTATGCTCTGAAGTAGAATTACTGGTTCTTCGACAGTTTTAAAATATCCCTTGGCAGTTTTGGCTCAAACTCCTGCTGCTTACATTTTGATGTATTGCAATGCAGTTTCAACGACTTTTACTGCTATTCGTTGCTTCCAGCTCAGGAAAAAAGTATTGAGATTGGACGCTACCTCGTATCAGACCTAAGATAGAACTGTCCAGCACCTTTGTTTATGACTACAAAATGAGCACGAGCGGCAGTTCTGCGAGGAATTCGCACCTCACCCAGGGGGGACGAACGACAATGATGACCATGCCTGTGAACCGAATAACATCACAGTGCAAAATAAAATTATCGCAAAAATACTGCCCGTGAATAAATTTACAACTCTGAAATTTTTGTCACTCCTTCCTTCAATGAATGGGTATTTTTTTCTTGATTATTATGTTTTGCTCTGAAATACATGCTTATACAGATCGGTTCACAGACATGGGCATCATTTTCATTCGTCCCCCCTGGCTGAGGTGCGAATTCCTCGCAGAGCTGCCGCTCGTGCTCATTTTCTGGTCATAAACAAAGGTGCTCGACAGTTCTATCTGAGCTTCGATACAAGGTAGCTTACAATCCCAATACCTTTTTCCTGAATTGGAAACAACGTACAGCAGGAAAAGCAGTTGAGGATGCTTTGCAATACATCAAAATGTATGTAGCAGGAGTTTGAACCAAAACTGCCAAGGGATATTTTAAAAATGTCGAGGAGCAAGTCATTCGACGTCAGAACAAAGTTTGGAGCAATTTATAGTGCTTCTAAAACTAAAAAGTACCTTTTAAAGAATAGCACGATAGGCAATCGGCTTCTGTTTTCAGAATTAGCAAACACTGAATTTACTTGTCCCGAAAATTGAAACTGGTGTCTCCTTCTTCCTGATAGTAATTTATTTTTGAAATTCCAAAACAATTTCACAGCTGAATTTTGAGCGACTTTTAGTTACGGACTTCTGCTCCAACGATTTTTCTGAAATTCCTCTGGCATATTTATTATATCAATTAAAGCCGATACCAGAAATTTCAGTAAAAAATATCAGCAAAATTTTTTACTAGACGCGATTTTCTTTGAACATTAGGGTCCTTTTAAGGGCTAATTTCTCAAGAAATATTTACCATCAATGAAATCGGAATATTTCGTATTATTGCCGAATGGTATTTGTTGTTCTTTGCAAAGTTTCGCAGCTATCGCGTTAACATCGAAAAAGTTATGACGGAAACTTTGTCCCAGCTAAAAGCTCTTGTATTAATTACGGAGCCACCTTAATCCGAAACCAAATAAGGGTGAAGTATATTAGCGAATTCTCACAGGCAAATTTGAAATTTAAGTGTCCTGAAATGGCTAATTATCTTCTGATAATAGCAACGAACCAAGTTTGTAATGGTTATAATACCACTTTAGCTGTGAAAGCCGGAAACCCGATGCTCCCGTTAATTAAAAAATATATTAAAGGTAAAAATGTAATATCTCAGAATATTTAGGATGACAATAACCAAGGTCAATTGTGGTATTAGGGTGCGCTTCGGTCGACGTTGTGGCTCGATTGTCGGGGCTTGGATCCTCAAGTATCAGTCATTATTGACAAAGAAACGTTATCTGCGAGCCTGATAAACAAATTAATTGCGCGGAAAAGTATTGATCCGAAAGTGAATTATTTCTTGATAGAAACAGAAGTCGTTAAAACACTATTATCTTACGGTTGAAACCTAACAGATTTTTTACCAACAGACCTTGAAACCAAGTCTCAATCAAAAGGAATAAAAAGGAAAAAGTACATGTACGAAAAGAAAAACAAAAATAAATGAAGAAAAAACAAAAAGAACTACCTTGATTTTTGAAATTTACATATCAGGGTATTAATTAACAATTATTGTATTACTGAGTGTGGGCTAACCACCCCCCTTTCCTGAACCTTACCGTTCCTGAGAAAGCAAGGAGTACGAAAAGCGATTTGCAGGCCAGAAAGTAAGAAAAATTCAGCATTACCTTATTCTACTTAATTTTCGCGGGTTCTTAAATTCGCGATTTTCGCGATTTTAAAAAATTCGCGAACTTAAAGACCCGGGAAGAATAACGACCGCGAACTTTGATCTCGCGAAATTTAATGGACATAGAAAAATCATATATTTGTGTTTTCAAGGGTCCTAAACAATTTTTAACTCAAGGTGTTAGTACAAGGAGCTATCATCTATCAACTTTAGATGTTAATCAGTGTCAAGATTCGCCTCAAGTTCTTCTTCGGCATCTGAGTAATCATCTTCGCACAGTTCCTCCAATACATGTCCCGGCTCCCTGTAGTGTGTAGTTACGAGTGTGTTGTATCTTTCCATTATTGCCCCGTTCCTTGGTGTATCGTCCATTTCACACATCACCTCACATATCACCTCACCACATCGCTAAAGGGTGGGAAAAGGCTGGCATCGCCCAACTATTAGATGAATCGTTAGTCTGCCCCCTGAGGATCCATTTGAAGAGATTGAAGGTTCTATCGAGATCTCCCAGAAAGGACATGTAACGATCATACTCTCGATACTCGATAATGACTCTGAAGAACAAGAAGACTTTTTTTAATACTGTAAGACTGACTTTTAGAGGAATACAGCTGCCGCTAAGGGACAGCATATTGGTTTTCTTTCAATTGTTGATTAACGTACAATTTTTGTCAAAAAAAGAAAACGTAAAGTCACTTAATCGTCAATTTCGCGAAATTAAATCCCCTGCAAACACAATTTTTCTCCGCGATCGCGAAATTAAAGACTCGCGAAATGTGCCGAGAAAATTTTCGCGAAATTTAAGTCCCGCGAAAATAAAGGAGAATAAGGTAATTCACTCAGATGGGAATACAGTACTGTAATGCTTTAGAGGGTCCTCTATTGCGTGTTATGGTCAAATACTTAGGTTCATACAATAACATTGCAGACCCTAAAGAAGACTTTAACATATTAAAAAAAAGACCTAGCCTAGGAGCAAGCAGTAGACCTCAGAAGATATGACAGTCTAATCTGCTAAATTCGTTGAAATTTCAAACATTAAGAACGCTTGTAGAGCCTGTCCTCCTTGTATGGTTCAGAAACTTCTAACGCTCAACAATAATCTGGCAGCATTTGTACTCCCGTGGGAAGTTGGTGCTGAAGGCAAGCAACTGGTCTAGAAGTATTAAGAAGACCTCAAATAACAAGAAAAATCTTGTTGCCAGTTTTGTAACCCGCACCGAGGCTTTTCGCGGGGGGGGAATTAGCCTTACAGACTATGCATGAAAACGACGTTGGAAAAAGTCTTAAAACTTTCCAAACATGGATAAAATGATTGATATATTACAACAAGTCCAAAACGGAATTGACAGCCACTGCATTTCTTTCCAGTTTGAAAACTTATTTGATTTACTTTTGAGATTGGCACATTTTTACTAAGATGGCGGACTGGTTTTAGCGGTTCTTCGTGCAGCGTTAACAGCAGTGGAAATTGCCGTCAATCTGAGGATGACCCCTGTCGATTCCGTTTTGGACTTGTTGTAATATATCTATCAGGGCACGCCGAAGGTACCGAATAAGCACCTCACGAGGTGAGCAAGACGGAATGTCTCGTTTGAATACCATTTCGGTTTGCTAAATAATACTGTTTAAGATCCAGGCCTGGATCCTAAGTAAACTTCTCACGTGATGCCCTTTTTGCAAATTGCCTTTTTTGCGGTGCCTCAAGTTTTGCGTTATGCCTCTTTGCGTACTGCATTTTTGCGTCATGCCTTTTTGCGTGTTGGCTCTTTGCGTGATGCCTCTTTGCGTGTTGCCTTTTTGCGTGATGTCTTTTTGCGTGTTGGTTCTTTGCGTTATGCCTTTTTCGTGTTGGCTGTTTGCGTGATGCCTCTTTGCGTGTTGCCTTTTAGCGTGATGCCTTTTTCTGCGTGATACCTATATGATAGTGGCTTATGTAGTATTTCTTCCTTCTAACGTGGTCTTTTTTTTTTTTTTTTTTGCCAACTTTGACTCGGTATATTTCAGATTTGACTTAGTCCTTTTCACTTTTAGGTTATTGAATTTTGTCATAGATATACCCTCATAACCTTAGCGTATCTTAGATCACGGATATGCGCATATCTAAATGCTAAAACAATGAAGACGTCTCCATGTTTATTTAATTATTTTGAAGACCTGAATTTTAACCTGAAGTCGGCGTAATAATCCAGTTACATTCACACGAGACAGTAATCGCCTAACATGTGATGAGTAATTTACACATTTATTTTTTTGTTATTGCTGGGCACCGTACCGCACTGCACTAGCTGGAATGGGCTATCCAGTCGTGAATTGATTAGAATCAACTTTCGCATAACTTTCTAGAATCATCTCCACTCGAAGAACAGGGTGAGTCTGAAAACGAAGGAGTGGCTGACTAATTCTCAGTTTGAATTACGAAAAGAATCTTAATTCCTTTAAAAAATCTATCTAGTGGTTTAAAATTATTCGCTAATTTGTTAAAGTAGACCAAAATGTTTACAAAACCGCTAACAAGAGCTCCGCGATACATACTAATTAAATCCCTCTTTCTAGCAATCGGGCAGAGCTATCTCCACGATCTTTCACACAGGTTTTTAAAAAGATTAAAACTACTACGAGGTGAAATTGCATGTCAAAAGCGCTTCGTTTTCTGCAGATAACGGCCAAACATCACGATTTTCCTTTTCTTACCGTATTTCTAACGGTAAAAACTTCATCCCGAACTATCTCGATAAAGCTCTTACAGATTTTGCATAAACTTTGCAAACATCGAGAACACCGTATTGGCGAAAAAAGCTCCTGTGAACGATTTTGTAAGGTTGCCAGTGCCAAGAAGTTTTAATGCTGCTGAAGTAAAATAGGTAATGGCGTGATTTCGATGTTATGACAACTCTGATGTCATTGCAACCCTGATCATGACAAATTTTCATTTACTGTGGTGGCAATTTTTTCTAATGTTTGTTTATGGCGACGTAGTTTATGCTCAAACCTGGTATTGAGCCTGAAAAAGTTTATCGAGCCACCTTCATACGCCAGTACGGCCTATGTTGTTGCAATATGGCCCTCGTTTCTTTTCGACCCTTTTTTTTTTTAAAATTTGGGACACTTGTGAGATTTTTTTGGGCAAATGGTTTGCCGCTTCCCCTGGCAAAAAATTTCCCCTACGCCAAAAAAGCTTTCTTCCCATTAAAATCTTATTCTAAGAAAACTTTAAGAAAAAATATCCCGAAAAGCGCTCGAAAATACAAACGAAATGTGCTCATACCCCCTGGGCATCCTATAATACTCCTTTAGTCGAATTAATTCCGCCGTATCGGTAAAAAGGTCTATTGGTCGCTGATTCCGTAAACCAGAATAGCTCGGTTAACCAATATAACTTTTAGACCGGAATTACAGGAAACGAATTTCCCCTTGACGAAGCCAATTTCCCTGCTTAGCTCGGAAACGAAAACAAAAACTTTTGGTCGCAGGTAAGAAAAGAGTAAACAAACAAGCACTTATCATGTCACTCGCTTCTGTTTGACTTCCGCTGCAGTTGAGTTTGAGTTTAAATTGTCAAAAAATGATGAAGTACTCTTGGAGAAACCTTCGGTACTCATCAGCCTTTGGCTGCTACTACTGACCCTTCAATAGAGTACGATACATGTAGAAGTATTAAGAGGTTTCAAGAAACGTATGCAGATTTACTTATAGTTTAAAACACAGTTTCGAAGTGAACGTTTTATGTTATTCTTTGAACTGTGCACTTGGAGATTTATTATATTAGCTATTCAGTTTTATCCAGGTTAATTATATCTTGTGTTTGTTATAGGATTGCTCGCAAGCATTACCATTTTGACTACTATTTCCGACTAACTTCAAGATCATATTTCTCCTTCATCATCGCGACTGATCACACGACCCGAAGAAAGTTATGCACCAAAACTCAAACACACATTTTATAATTCACAAGATAGCCTTCATACAAACATACACAGACGCAATTGGCCAAAATCACAGGCTGAATGGCAAACATCCAGCCTATTCGAGCTTGTGTTTGTTTCCTGCGTGGCTATTTCCAACTGGAGAATAATTATAGCCTGATTTCTTCTTCTTGTTACAATAGCCAAGGATACAAAGCAACATCAACCCGTATGTTTCACTAGCACAGCCCCTGTTTTAGTTTAAAACAAGGATGGAATTCACTAGAACACTGCGCCTCATAACGAACAGTAAAACTAATTTTTCCAATAACATTTGTTTTCCCACTTAAATTTCTAGGAACATACTTCAGGGTGTGACTTTGTGGAGATACCTTGTATGTTTGAAAAGTGTCAAACAAAAGTGCTTAAGTCGAAACTAGCTGAACACCTTGAAAACGAATGCAGCCAAAGAAAATCAAAGTGTGACCACTGTGGTCTGGAAATGCTGTTTGGTGAAGTGGAGGTAACATTTTGTACACGTGCTCCGAAACTTACTTGTCTTATAGCACCTGAGAGATTTCTCTGTGTTTTTTACTAGGACTGAACTTTAATGAACCAAGAAACAAACAACCAAAAAAATGAAACAAAACTGCATGTGGTCTATCTCTCTTTTGGGGCCCAACTTAACGTCCTCAGTAAAAGGCTAAACGCTTGTGTGCTGAGATTGCACTTATAAGATCCATCTTCTTTAATTTCACTCTTGCCTATTACTCAGTCCCAACCACTACCCTAAACTTGATAGATTATTTGTAAACGGTGCATGACGACCTTTCTGAGGGATACTTCAAAAGTCACACCCCTTGTTTTTGCTCGTAGGAAATCTTATATAAATTCCATACAAATCGTAGAATTAACGATCGCAAAAAAACGTTATCTAGAGCACTACGAAGTGGAAGGGAAGTACATGTTATCATTCACTTTTGAAGTAATTTAATAAATCAAATAAACAATCGGTTGTCCTCTGATTGTTTTAACAGAATCATGTTAGCAGCGACTGCCAATCAATTCCCATTGACTGTCATCTTTGTGACAAGAAAGGCATTCTTCGGGGAAAGTTACAAGAGCATCACGATCCAGAATTTGGTGACTGTGAAGGCACCAAAGCTTTCTGCCCATTTTTTACACTTGGCTGTAGATCCAGAGAGGTAATAAGGCAGACGTAAACGATTGAATGTGTAATAATACGTAAATAGTTTCGCAAATTTTAGAAGCTATATGTTAAGATAATTAACCATAGACTAGTTTCCTATATTTTATAAATGCTTTAGACGAAGGAGAGCGCCATTCTAATTGTGGTTTTTTATGGTCTCTCAAACGGAGAGCACGCATGTTAAGCACTCCGAGGATACCCTATATTCTTTTTATTCACGAAATTCTGTCTACAATCACTTCTACAGAAATCTCTAAGCACAAAACAGCAACAACAACAACACCAACAACAACAACAGCTACAAAAAAACGACATAAGCAAACAACACAGTAAATAAGCTAAGACAGGGGAAGTTGAAAGAAAATTAAAATGCAGCAGTAAAGAAATTTTGAACAATCCGAACTAAGGGCGACGGCCGCTCACCAAAGATCGTTTTTTATTATTCGAAGGAATTTTGGGTTTTTCTGTTTCGTCAATAATCTTAGCGGACCTCCTCCTAGGAACACAAAAAATCATGGTTTGTGATTGGTGGATTTCGATCCATTTTGTTTGGTTCTGTGTTTGACATTAGGTTCGTTGCTTGGGATCGTCCCTTTTGGGGCAATCATCGACTTGTTCGCGTCGAAGATTTTTTCCGGTCTTTCTTTTTCTTGTCACTTGCAACAATAAAGCAATGTCTGCCACCTTCCCTCGACAAAAATCCCACTAACCATGGCGATTTTTTACGCTATTCTTGCGCAGTCTATATTTGAAGAGTCATTCTCAGTTTTGTTTTTGCGGGCAAAGCTTGGTGGAGTGCGTTGAATTGTAATTTGCATTACATCTAACCCAAGCCCCACATCTTTCTTGATCTCGCTGGGCGCCATATCTTGTGAAATGAGCGGCCGTCGCCTTGAGTTCGGATTGTTCCAAATTTCTTTATGATTACTCCTGGCTTTGATTCGTGCAAACTCAGACGTTGTCAAAACATTTTCAGCTTGATTTATACTTGAAACATCACAATTCCTTATTTTTTATATCCTTTACAAAAATGTTTTGCAACGTATTTTGAACTGGCTCTGATGAGTACAATTATGCGCAAATTCATTGTTTAGATTTCGACTTGTCATTGGCTAATTTCAAAATTTGTTTCAAAATTTTGTCTGGGTGACCTCGGTTCGTGTAGTCGCACTGTAAAAACAAACAAAAGTGAAATCGGCCATGTTAATGCTGTTATAAGGTAGTTCACGGAATAATTTTTAGTCACTTCTGATTGACAGTATTTTAAGTATCTCTACGTTGTTATGAGTGTATTTCTGGTATTTGCAGGAGATGAGGCTCACTGAGAGAAGGCGTCACGAGCAATCGTTGGTAATGTATCACCTGAACCTCCTGCTTCATTTTGCGCTTTCTTTGAGGGACGATTTTGAAGGTTATTGTAACGAGATAAAGCCAATTGATCGACTAAAGTCAACAGTCAGCCAACTTCTCACTCAGGTAACGGCAGTGGTACGCGAGAATGGAAGTATCCAAGAGGAAGTCGATAGCTTAAGGACGCAACTTGCGCGGGTGGAGGAAAATTTGGTGGAACCGCATTCTGCTGCAACCGGGCAACATCACTCCTTGCAAGTGCAGTATCAACAAATAACTGCAATGTTAGCTGATTTTAAGCGTCAGCTGAACAACATGGAGGCTAAGTTTGAAAATCACGAATTGCTACTGTTTGAAGCAAATCGTTATATTGAAGAGCAAAACCAAGAGATTGCTAGGTTGAAGCGACAAGAGGAAATTGACAGAGAGCAATTAAACCGGTTACAGGCCAAAGTAATATCTGCGGAGGAGAGCTTGAAGAGACGGAATACACCACCGGAAGCTGGTATTCAAACTTCCCCGAGAGATCAAGAACCAAACAGCTTTGATGGCACTCTTCTATGGAGGATAAATAATGTTTCAGCGATTATGTATGATTCGTTTAACGAACCGGAGAAGTCGTTTTATAGCCCGCCGTTCTTTACAAGTCGTCATGGATACAAAATGTGCGCACGTATTTACCTGAATGGTGACGGGATGGGAAAGGGGACACACATTTCGCTGTTTTTCGTGCTCATGCGGGGTGAGTTTGACCCGTTACTTCGCTGGCCATTCAGACAAAAGGTTACCTTCATGTTGTTGGATCAAAACAATGTGGAGCACGTGATTGACGCCTTTAGGCCGGATCCAAACAGTTCGTCCTTCCAAAGACCGAGAAGGGAGACGAACATCGCCAGTGGATGCCCCCTCTTCCTGCCGCTTGCGGATTTAAATAACCACTCTTATATCAAGGACGACGCAATGTTCATAAAGGTTATCGTTGACTGCTCCGACCTGTAAAGAAAAGAAGAACTAATTAGTTTGTGTCCTTGGAAAAAAACGTCAAACGATTTAGATGATGAGCGTTCATTATTTCCTTAATTTACGATTTAACAAAATTAATTTCCTGCTAAACTGACCGAATTGTTTACTACTTATCAGCTGAACAATTAATGTATATTACCCGGTAGTGCGTTCCAGTGTTTCGTTACACAATACCTAAAGCACCAAAGCATACGCCTCGCTCAGATTGGATTCTAAAGTGCTGTTCTAAAGTGCTGCACGAGGCCGACCCTCAATAACAAAATATGATATCTAGAACAGTCCTTGTAATTGAATCTGAAAACGTGCTTCATTATGTCTGATTTTCTAGCTTACTAAAGTGTCTGGCTGCGCGATAGTGCCAGACTTGCGTTAAAGAAAGTTGGGCTTTTAACTCTTACAAGGAATATAATTTTTAACCTGATCAGCGCATCCAGTCCCACCTCCTACTTTACGACAATTATCGGAAATGTGTAGGCATTAAATTTGAGCCTATTTACCTTTAACACCTAATAACTTGATATATCGTTTGAATGGGATTCATTTTATCCGCACATTAATTGGAGCCATGGCCTCTATGATGTTAGTGTTTCCCAAAATGAGAGCTTGATACCTCTTGTGAGTCACCGTCATCCCGGTTCACTGTGACCAGTGCAGTGCGTGAAGAATAAGTCCCGCTGATTAATATCCTCCTTGACAACCTGGCAATTGGCTGCACCACCCTATTGGAAAGCTTAGATCATTAATAAAAATTTTCGCTCGCAGGGGTCCAAAAATAGACCCCTGCGAGAACCATAATGCCACACTCGACCAGGTTGAAACGGCCTTAAGTGAACTTAAAAACTGCAGAGCTATTGGTACTACCTAAAAGTTAACTTTGCAAGCCATAAACTCGACACTTTCTGTTGGTGTCTTGTTCATGTCTTGAAAACCTTTTTACTTAGGTCAATCAGCTTTTCAGATTTATCGTCACTTGGTATATTCGTTTGCGGTCCTTTGCAGTTAATTTTAAGTTGAATAGATGCCGCCTAACTTCACTGACTTGGAATGGTCACATAAGTGCACAGGGAGACAAAACTCGAAATATGAGTGACGTGTCAGCCATGTTATGTATCCTTCGAAACAGGGCAAGGATTTGTAGAGCTCGTGCTCCACGCAGCAAAGTAAAGACATATTACTTGAGCGAGGTGACTATAGGCGTTGTTTATTCAAATATATTTCCCTTTTTTAGGTTTTTTGAAGCATTTAGTAAACTTTGTTTTGCTATACAAATACCTGTTATTCGAAGGTTATGCAACAGGACTAACGTTGATTTTTCAAGCTTGGGCTACATGTGACGAACTAAAGAAACATTCAAATGCAAGAGATCGTTATTTGGCAAGTTGCTAACAGTTTTGTGTTTTCGGTAACATTAACTCACTTAAATTATTTTATTGTAATTGTAAATGTAATTTGTGTACCCACGGAACACTTAGGAGTTCACGAGAACTCGTAGAAAGTGTCCGTGCGTTCCAGATCGAATTGGAATTTGGAAGGGTTGGTTTTTAAGGAGAGGGGAAAACCGGAGTACCCGGAGAAAAACCTCTCAGAGAAAGGAAGAGAACCAACAACAAACTCAACCCACATATGGCGCTGACGCCAGGATTCGAACCCGGGCCACATTGGTGGGAGGCGAGCGCTGTCGCCACTGCGCCACCCTTGCTGCGCCACAATTTGCATTAGTTGTTTGTTACAGATTGAAAAAGTGCCGGGAGACGACAATAATTATTGCGACGGTGTTATCAAAATTGTGTGATTTGGTGCCACTTTTAATACAGTTTCCAGAAATAGAGGTGACTTAATTAACAAGGCAAATATTATACCACATGGTACGTGTCGCGCGGTATTACACTTTGCCTTCATATCGCGAGCAGAGGACTTCTTCTGATCTCTAATAACGACCAAATCATTATCAATTTTATTGAGCCTGCTTCTTTTATAAGCATTTAAATATGGTTAGTTTTGCAAAATCTTTTCCAGTTACAACGTTCTTTGTTGGTTCAGTTGTTGTTTCCTCTTCCTCAGAAATATCACTCAAATCTTCTTTTGTTGATGGTTTCATTTTATTTCTTGATTATATTATTCAATTATGAACCTACGAGGGGGGCATAATTTCTGGCTCACTAGTAGTTATAATAGGATGACTTCTGACTCAACTCCCCTCCCCCCTACTCTTTTCTATCTCCGGCGAGCTAGCGAGGCGAGCGAGCATATATGCCGTCTGGTTCAGATTTTTTGAGTTTGATGGGGGTACAAATTTAAGTAGGGTATCATTTTTATGATTATTTTTTGTCTTGTTAAGTGAAAAAAAATGTCACAAAATTTTAGGTAGTAGGTTTTAATGACGGAAAATAACCAGGGAAAAAATGCGTGGCGGATGACAGGAGATATGAGGGGAATAATTGGAAAAGAGTAGGGGGGGGGAGTTGAGTCAGAAAGCATCATATTATAACTACTCCTGTCCAGTCAGTTTGAAGCTGAACCAAGTGCTCCTTGTGACAAGTCAGCCAGTTAACATTGCCGCGTGGCTTATCGTCCTTATCGTGACGATCTTGGTTCTGTACTCTACTGCTCTCAACTTGTACTTCGCCTTTATAATAACAGCCTTCGAACGAATCTTCATTCAGGGCGCCAGCAGCCCTGGGATGAGCGGGCAGCAGCGGACAGAACGGACAATCTTGCTGTGAACGGAAATCGAGCCCTCCCGCAAGAACACGAACGATGACCGCCGTGAGCAGGTAAATGGAATTTTTTTTCCTTATTAATTTTTTAAATTGTTCGTTTTCTTAGAGTTTTATAATTTAGGAGAAATTGTGAGTCATCAGTTTTCTCAAATGGACAACAAAGAAGGCGGAGTTTTTTATCTTACTGTACGGAATGCTAGAATATCCTCTTACCGCGTTGGGATACTTTTTACAAAAGTAGATGTTTTAAAATCTTTTCAAGTTAAAAGACTCTCCGATGTAAAAAAAATGTAAAAGTTTTCGTCTGTTTTGTTTTAGGGTTATTTTTATTTTTTTCTGTTGTTTCCGTGTACCACGTTTTTTTTTTTGTTGTTTTTAATTATTTCAGTAGTGTTTTAAAAAAGAATACTACAGTCAGCTGGGAGAGTAACTCGGTCGATCAGTTAAGGAAAGAAGAGAGTTAAATCAGAAACTGTCATTTCTGCATCAGGTGAGGCATTTTTTGTGGATCGTGCTATAATAAGACAAAGTAGAGAAATCGAGAATTACTTTGTGAGGACATACTGATCAGCCACGAAGAAAGTTTTTCGGTGGTAGTGCCACAGTGAAGAAACACGGAGAATACACTTGAACTGTTACTTGGAAGACTTGTATATGGTCTCGGTTGATCATTTGACAAAACCAAAACCTAGTTCATTTGTGGGCAGTTTGTTCATCGTCTGGCGAGTAAAGAAACAACAAATGTCAACTTGGCAGTGCGTGCGTTGTGGTTCTAAAATATCCTTCGTTTCTTTCTTTCTTTCTTTCTTTCTTTTTTTTTTCCAGATTTCCGTTAAAACGTTACCCATATCCAACAGATTATCCAAAAGATTAAATAAGAATTACAGTGAATTTTAACATGTGTACATGTTTATTAATGCCTTTTTCTTGTAATACTGGCTTGTTATTTAAGGTTGCACCATCCTCAAACGATTTTGCATTCGTTTACTCAAGTTGTTGATGTCGTAGGATGTACTGCATAAATGACCGATAACCAAACAATCAGTTAAGCAATGTTGATCATTGTCAGTAGACTAGACTGTAAAAGGATCGCGATAATATTCTCATTCAAAGGTGCCACGTTGTAAAATAATGCTGAATTCTGTTTTCAGCCATGTACGCTATAAACTTCATCTATTAGCCCTTTTGGACCTTTCTACACACCCAATGACAGATTTAAGTGTCTGTTTTAGAATCATAATACCGATAAAAAAGTGGAATTCAGGCACTTATTTGAATCTGTGTATGAGTGAGAATATTTCGATATTGTGATATTGTGTATTCGAGATTGTGTATTGTGCTTATGATATTGAATTGTTTCGGAATCTAGCAGAACGTTTCGCGACAGAAATTTGCTAGCGTGTCTACATGACAAGCTCGTTGCGCTTGTTAAGAGTGGCTAAATGGGGCTTACTGGGATTATAAAATATTTCTCCCACATACATAAATTACACCGTTTAGAAGAGGGTTTGTAGGCCTGCTTCAAAATCTTCCAGGTGATCCGGAAGTTCATGTTACGGTCTTTAAGGTTCCACAGGTACGTGGAATATATTTACCTAGCTCGATGCTCATTGTAAATTGATAATTTATCCTCTTTCAGTTCAGTTAGTCCAACGTAAGTCTCGTCAGGCTTGCTGTCTTTTGCATGTAGTTATGGTCGCTTGATTGAAACAATGTATTTCCTGAGGCACTGCAATGGCCATTCATGGGGTAGTCGTAAGTTTTTCTACAGTTAATCAATTTTTGAGACTCGGCATTCATGCTTGTGCTTCTAAACAAGACGCCTAAAGTCGTTTCCGTGGGATGCGTTGGTCTATGGAAGCATAATGGCGTTCTATCTGAATTTGGAAAAATTAGGGAAACCGGAAAGATGTGTCATGTTATGAGCATCGATGAGTAGGTTACCTGTATGGGTTGGTTTAATGTGCTTATGACTGAATTTGTAGTTGCCTGCGTGACAGGCTACTATTTCTCCCCAATCCACATCCCCTCTTTGCTTCCTCCCTATCCCCTACCCCTTTCGACACCTGCTACGCAAGCTAGATTTATAGTTGTCACTGGTCGCAAGGATGGAGTTGATCTTGTTTTGATCTATCGCTATGTAGTTACTTTCATAGCACGATTTGGATAAGAAAAAGAAGCTATTTTGCATCAAAACAAGGTTTAGCCGTGTCATTTTAAGTGGAATGTTAACGGAAACAAGTAATGGAGAACATGCGCATAATGCTCTCTGATTAATCTGAAGAGGAACTATATGTATAAAGATACGTCATATCTTGGCAGTAAGTAGCCACAGGTAACTTTTTTAAAGAGAAATGAACATTGTAGTTTTAGGTTAATGGAACAAAACAAAACAAAACATCCGCTTGCTTTATCCAGGGTCGAACCCAGGGTTACAAAGTTCGAAAAAGTTCCAATGTTTTAATCCAAGATGAAAGTTTAATATTCCAAGATGCTCTTGATACGGTTAAAAATTAATTGCAATGTGTTTCCAAGGTCTCAAAGTTAACATAGTTCCAATGATTTTCCCTGATTCCAAGGTATAATAAGTTTACTAAGGTCCTGATCCGTGTCCCATCCAGAAGTCCAATCCATGCCGAAAGCGAGTCATCGATCGACGAAGACAATATTTTCGCGATTTCACCGCCAATCGTCAAGGGTACGAGTTGAAATTTACCAGATTTAACCTCCCATCGTCAAGGTGTTTTCGATGAGAAAAGAAAATAACTGAACTCTAGCTGTGCTCGGCAAAAACTGGCGAACTCCGAATAGAAAAATCTATCGGAAATCACGGCCCGCAACCAGACGCTACTAAAACCTTATGAAAAAGCTAGACCCAAACAAAAAAGAATCATGAAGGAAAGAAATAATTTGGCTTAGGTCACCTTTCGTGACTTGCCAGTATCCCGAAGGATTTCGCTGGTTAACGAGCCATTCTAAACCACGAGTGGGAAAACTCAAGCGCGACAAATTTCGGCAAGCGTGACGTTCTGATTTCAACGTTCTTCAGAGGAAGCAAATCGATTAAAAATCGATACAGAGTTTGTACAATCTGATTGGTTGGCTTGGAAGAAGAGATAATCGATAAAGATTTTACGCAATCCTTTTGGCTGGCTTTGCAATTTTGGGTACAACCGAACAGGATTTTTACCGTGGGAATGCCACAGGCATCCCACGGAATAATACAGGAACAATGGATGACTGTCCTTGTAGCAAAGTTCTAGTACCTGGAGCTGATCCGACTATTTCTTTACACAGTTTCTTGTACACACTTGCTCCAAATCGACCTCTTCGGCATAGCCTGCGTCGTCGAAGACACTGTAAACCTTCTGTCATTGGTCTAGACAATGCGTGGGCCGGCTCCAATGCAGGCTAAACGGACCTCTCAAGACTTCGTCGCCCCCTCTGGCTTTGGAATTTAAACCAATTCCTTCCCCTGTATTCGACTTAGTGTAAGCCTGGTTAAAAATTAAAGTATTAGACTAAAAGGCACGCCTGATCAACCAATTGAAAAAGAACCAGCGTTCCTCTTTTCTATTCAGTTTACAAATCACGAGAACGTCATTTGACGCTTTTGGCACTTACGAGAGAAAAGCAGCGTGTCTAATATTACCTTATGATCATGTTACGTATTGATTACTTTGTGGTGAGATTGATCAAAATAGTTAAAAGACGTAACTCACTGGGCTTTAATCACCTTTCGCGAATCGAGGAGCGTTTTAAACCCCTGGAAAACACGTGAGTTCATACCCACATTCCGTTCAATGTCTTATCACGTAGATTTCAAACAAATATGAATAGTGCAGTTTCAAGCAATAAGTATTTTATGACAATTTTAACTGTCGTTTTCTGATACCTTCAAAAACATCGACGCTTAAGGATTTCCTCGCGTTTTCAACACATGTTTCTATAAAACTGCTAAAAACATACCGGGTTCATGCCAGTGCATGGTTTTTAATTTTTGAAAGGCTGTGAATGCAACACCTTAATCCGAGAAATAGCGAACCAATCAGATTGCTTGAAACACTAAGACCTGTGCGAATGCTACTTATATAAAAACAAAGTACATAATTATAAATTATTTACACTCCGGTTACCAGAGAACAGTCAAAGAGTATTGAAGTATCGATCAGTGAAACGCGGCCAAGCAAGCTAACAGTGAGTCGCGAATCATGTTGTTCCTGGTGGTTCTTTTCTGTACTGTGAGCATGTATCGAGCAGTGCTAACAACTGCTGATCATGAGAGTAGAAACTTCCTTGTTCAGGACACTAAGATAGAAGGAAAAGAAACTCACTGTTATAGCTCCTGTCCAGTCAGTTTGAAGCTGAACCAAGTGCTCGTTGTGACAACTGAGCCAGTTAGCATAGCCGCGTGGCTTATCGTGATGATTGTGGTTCTGTACTCTACTGCTCTCAACTTGTACTTCGCCTTTATAATAACAGCCTCCGAAGGAGTCTTCATTCAGGGCGCCAGGGTTGAACGACAGCAGCCCTGGGATGAGCGAGCAGCAGCGGATAGAACGGACAATCTTGCTGTGAACGGAAATCGAGCCCTCCCGCAAGAAAACGAAGGATGACCGCCGTGAGTAGGTAAGTAACATTTTTTTTCCTTTGTTTTTTGTTCAATTGTTAGTTTTCTTCGAGTTTTATAATTTAGGAGAAAATGTGAGTCATCAGTTTTCTCAAATGGACAACAAAGGAGGCAGAGTTTTGTATCTTACTATACGGAATGCTAGAATATCCACTTACCAGGGATATTTTTTACAAAACTAGATGTTTTAAAATCTTTTTAAGTCAAAAGACTCTCCGATGTAAAACAATGTAAAAGTTTTCATATGTTCTGTTTTTTGGTTAATTGTCTGGTTTTATTTTTTTTCCGTTGTTTCTGTACCACTTTTTTAAATTTGTTTTTGATTTTTTAGTGTTTAAAACAGAATACAACACTCAGTTGGGAGAGAAACTCGGTCGATTAGTTAAGGAAAGAAAAAAAAAATCAGAAACTGTTATTTGTGCATCAGGGGAGGTATCTTTTTGGTTTTTCGGTGAGTAGACAAAGAAGAAAAATCGAGAATTAGTTTGTGAGGACTTGTTAATGAGCCACGAGGAAAGTTGTTCAGTGGTAGTGCCACAATGAAGAAAACCAGAATACAACTGTTAGTTGGAAGACTTGTGTGGTCTCGGTCCATCATTCTACAAAATGTGAATACCTATTTCAGAAAGAGTCATTTGTGGGCAGTTTGTTCATCGTCTGGCGAGTAAAGAAGCAACAAATGTCAACTTGGCAGTGCATGTGTTGTGGTTCCATTTTATCCTTCGCTTTTTTCTTTCTTTTTTTTTTTCAGAGTTCCGTTAAAAATACTATAACCTATACCCATCAAGAAAAAAAGCTTAAACATTAAGAATTTTCACATGTGTACATGTTTATTAATGCCTTTTCCTTGTTATCCTTGTTATTTAAGGTTAGATCATCCTCAGACGTTTTTGCATTCGTTTACTCAAGTTGTTGATGTCGCAGGATGTACAGCATGAATGAGCGATAAGCGAATAATAAACAATCAGTTATAAATAAACAATATTGATCACGGTAGACTGGACTGTGAAGGTTCGCGATAATATTAGGGAGCTTTAGCATCGACGACGGCAACGGCAGCGAAAACGTCAGTTTTAAAATGAATTCCCGCTTTTTCAATCTTTGTCGCGTTTATTCCAATTTGCTGAAAATAGCAAGTGTAGGCGAATTTCCCTGGAGTTGATTTCTTGAGGACCGCACTAAAGTTTGGACAGAGAAAAAGAGACTCGTCGTCACTTGTTTACGTCCTCCATAAAACTTGTAATTAGGCATTTTCACGTCGTAGTCGTGCAAGGAGGGTGAAGAAATGTACAAAAAATGCGTGATGTACGTGCAAAGTTGGTGTTTTGCGTAATAAACCTATCGCTTTTTTGACGTCTTGGTTGCCGTCGCCGTCGTCGTTGCTAAAGCTCCCTATTCTCATTCTAAGGTGCCACATTGTAAAAGAATGCTGAATTCTGTTGAATTTCTTTTGCTCGGCTTCCATTTCAATAGCATTTAGCTGCTTAATGTATAAGATTTTTTTTGTCTTCTATGGGCTAAAAAAAACTTGCATGCCTTTATTAAACTGCCAATACGGCTATTCAAATGCCCGGTGCAACGGCGTGTGTACGTGTATAGAGGTAAGGTTCAAAAATAACTCGTGATCAGTGCAATGATGTCATTGTACGGGGGTTCCCCGTCATTCCATTCATGATGAATATTTGCATATGCTTACTGTAACATAATTTAGATTTTAGGCCATAGAAACAACTATGAAAAATTGATTAAGCATCACCGATATAGATGCTCTCTTCAACTCGTATTGACAAAATACCGAATTTTGTTGAGCAGATCGTATTTATGCTTAAACAACAGGGGCACCCAACGAGAATATAGTTCAGAACCACTTAAACAAAGCATTGTCTAACGTATTTTAGTATTTAAACGGTAGATATAGGCATATTTCTATCCCCTAAAAATTTTTCATCTGTTCGGATTTCCTAGCTGAAAGTCTAGTGATCCGAAAATTCTAGGGATCAAAACTTACCTTTTCGAAAATTACAGCCAGAAAAAAGGCTCCCGAAAATTCTAGGTGACCTTTTTAGGGTAAAAATCCGTTAAAAATGAGCAATTCATACCATTTTTTTTAGATGTTCGAAAATCCTAGGAGAGGCAGGAAGGCAAGACATTTTTCAGCAAATGTTCCGAAAATTGTAGATCTCAAATCGTCTTCCGAACAGATATTTTCCGAAAACAATCAGTTATAAATCAGGGGCACCCAACGAGGATATAGTTCAAAACCACTTAACATAGCATTGTTGAACGTATTTTAGTATTCAAACGGTAGATATAGCCATATTTCTATCCCCTAAAAATTTTTCATCTGTTCGGATTTCCTAGCTGAAAGTCTATTGATCCGAAAATTATAGGGATAAAAACTTACCTTCTCGAAAATTTCAGCCAGGAAAAGGCTCCCGAAAATTCTAGGTGGCCTTTTTTAAGGTCAAAATCCCTTAAAAATGGGTAATTATACCATTTTGTGGATGTTCGAAAATCCTAGGAGCGGCAGGCAAGCAACAAATTTTACAACAAATGCTCCGAAAATTCTAGATCTCAAATCGTCTTCCGAACAGATATTTTCCCGAAAATTGCCGTTGGGTGCCCCTGATAAATAAACAATATTGATCACGGTAGACTGGAATGTGAAGGTTCGCGATAATATTCTCATTCAAAGGTGCCACATTGTAAAAGAATGCTGAATTCTGTTGTCAGCCATGTACGCCATAGAATTCATCTACTACTAACAAAAAGTGGAATTAAGGCACTTATTTGAATCTGAGTGTGTATGAGTGAGAATGTTTCGATATTGTGTATTGTGCTTATGATATTGAATTGTATCGGAATCTAGCAGAACGTTTTACGACAGAAACTTGCTAGCGTGTCTACATGAAGCTACAGGCTCGTTGCGCTTGTTAAGAGTGGCTAGATGGGGCTTACTGGGATTATAAAATATTTCTCCCACATAAATAAATTACACCGTTTAGAAGAGGGTTTGTTGGCCTGCTTCAAAATCTTCCAGGTGATCCGCAAGGTCGTGTTACAGTCTTTAAGGTTCCACAGGTACGTGGAACATGTTTACCTAGCTCGATGCTTATAGTAAAATGATAGTTTATCCTCTTTCAGTCCAGTTAGTCCTGGCAGTTAGGCACTGTAATAGCCATTCATGGGGTAGTCGTAAGTTTTTCTGCAGTTGCACAATTTTTGAGACTCGTTCGCGGTATTCATGCTTGTGCTTCTAAATGATATAGGAACAATGGATGACTGTCCTTGAAGCAAATTTCTAGAACCTGAAGCTGATCCAACTATTTCTTTATCAGCGTCTTGTACACACTTGCTCCAAATCGACCTCTCCGCCGGCATAGTCTGCGTCGAAGACACAGTAAATCTTCTGCCAGTTGTCTAGACGATGAGTGGGCCGGCTCCAAAGCAGGCTTATAGGACTTCTCAAGACTGCGTCGCTCTTCTGGCTTTGGAATTTAAGCCAATTCCTTCCCCTGTATTCGACTTAGTGTAAGCCTGGTTACAGAAATTATTGAACTGAAAGGCACGTCTGATCATACCCTGGCTTCAGAGGTCCGTTCCCAAAATACCTAATATGAAATAAACCGTGCTTACGGTTTGATCTCTCGGCGCTTCGCGCCTTTAGTGACGCGGCTTCGCCGCGAACGATCAGAGTCAATAAGAAAAATATATCCTCTGAAACCCAGGGTAGTCTGATCACTGAACCTATCGGAAAAGAACCAGCTTTCCCCTTTGCTATTCAGTTTACAAATCACGAGAACGTCATTTGACGTTTTTGGCACTTACGAGAGAAAAGCATTGTGTCTGATATGACCTTATGATGTCACATATTGATTACTTTGGGGTGAAATTGATCAAAATAGTAAAAAGACGTAACTCACTGGGCTTTAATACCCTTCGCGAAAATTGAAGAACCATCCACTTATTTAACAAGTTATCGTGCACAAACGAATCTTGCTGTAATAGGTAAAAAAACAACCTCAACTTTTACGAGAATTATGGCAGTTTCCGAGTCACTAGAAACCCCTGGAACACACGTGATTTCTTACCCACATTCCGTTTCAGGGCGAGGTGTTCAATGTCTTATCACGTGGATTTCAAACAAATATAAACGGTGCAGTTTGAAGCAATATGCATTATTTGACAATTTTAACCGTTTTTGTGATAGTGCAGAGAAGAAATTACTCATCACCCGATCAAATGGTAGGTAAAATTTTGTCTCCATTCACGCTCCACGTTTACTGACTCATTACAAGTTTATTGTCGCGACACCGATCATTTAGTATTTCCAACGAGGCATGCAAGGTAGATCAGCCATTGGTTTCTAGAAAAGTCACTACATATGCAGCATATAGCTCATCATGAATAGAAATTTGCCGCATGTTCACACAACTAAGCGCTAGTAATCTCTACTTCTCCAGCTGCTTCTTGGATTTTATGTTTGCAAGTGTCGAGTGACTTTCCAACCTATCTATCGTCACTCTCCGATCCGAGTCTATAGTCTGTGTCCGGAACTGAAATGACTGGTCGCGCGAACGTTCCTTGGTGGTTTCCGAGGCGTATTTTTTTGTCTGTAACCCTGGATCTCCTCCAAAAATCCGGGAAATAAAAGATAACTACAGTAGGAAAACGTAATACAGTGAGAAACTCCCGGGAAGAAACTGCTACCTTATGCACCGAGAGGTGACCCTCTTGAGAATAGCTTGCGTTACTGCCTTAACCGCTCATAAATTACTTAGTTTTAAACGAAATGTGTCATTTTAGAGGGATATCCATTTCTTTTGCTCGGCTTCCATTTCAATAGCATTTAGCTGCTTAATAAGATTTTTTGTTTCTTCTATGGGCTAAAAAAAACTTCCATGCCTTTATTAAACTGCCAATGGGGCTCTTCAGATGCCCGGTGCAACCGCGTGTGTACGTGCGTAAAGGTAAGGTTAAAAAATAACTCGTGATCAGTGCAAGATGTCATTGTACGGGGTTTCCCCGTGATTCCATTCATGCTGAATATTTGCATATGCCCAGAGTAACATAATTTAGATTTTAGGCCATAGAAACAACTATGAAAAATTGATTAAGCATCACCGATATAGATGCTCCCTTAAACTCGTATTGACAGAATACCGAATTTTGTCGAGCAGATCGTATTTATGCTTAAACAAGTCGTAATGTTTCCCATAGGTTTGAAGGTTCTAGGACTTTTACGCAGATGAGCAGTTCCCGTCGCTGGAACGGTTTGCTCAGCTGGGCAGTGGCATCCTACGCAGACGGGTCCAGACGTTGCTAGGGCTTCATTGTACGTTGACAAAGCCGCTAACAGTGTTTGCGTGGAAAACGCCGGCACTAGGTTTCGCTAAGTAATAGTGCTGCATGTCGAGGAATAAAACGGGCAGGAACTAAACTCAGTGTTCAACTAATCGACGCCAATTCCACCGTCAATACCGTGTTAAAATTTCTTTCGACGGCTGTTCGGAACAATTTCAGGTAAAGCATTGAATTCATGAATCTATTGCATATTTGTTTCGAACTGACTTCTCTTAACACGTTGCCAATGAAACTCCGTCATGGTGCCCATAAATGATATTAAGGTATTTCGATACAGTTTGTCAGAGGCCATACCGATATTTTTCAATCGCCTTAAAAGTGTTTTATTCCTTGTCCGATCGCCATAAAATTTTCACCAGTAATTGGCGTTGGATTGAAATTTGTAAAATGTAGTTTTAAGTAAAATCGATATTACTATGACAACAATAAATAAACAAAATGGAAATTGATAAAAGCCGAATTTTGCGCAATCTAGACCCGCTACTAAAAATCCAACACTAGGATCTTACAGTTTGGTGATTAGCAAATAACCTCCGCGAGAAGTAAAAAATTCTGTATGATTGAATTCAAATAAAACGTAAATATATTTCAAACCTCGTATTTTCAGTAGCCGTGATAAATTATTTAATAAAAAAGTTCAAAATAACTTAAGTTAATCTTAAGTAGAGTCGGAATGTTCCTAAACATCATATTTCGATACTAGGAAAGTTTGGTGTATTTTCGTTCTTGCGATCTTGAAAAACAACCTGCTTTCTCAACACCTGTCTAAGCGCAACTTTATTTGAAATCTTGACTTTTAGCGCTTTTTTGTATATCTCTGAAACTACTCGAACGAATTTTTTTAAAATCAAATCCCATAATCTTCATAATGTATGTAATAATGTCTGAAACTTTCATTAAGATTGATTCACTCTGACACCTTGAAATTTCAAGACGAACCTAGCCTACGAGCTGGCCAAAAATCTGCGTTACAAATTCACTGTTTTGGCGTTATGGTAATGTTTGCTAATTAATGCGCACGGTACATACCTCCATAACCAGTACATTTCAGTGTGACAGAATATTTCGAAAAAAATTAAGCCGCATGTTTTTCTTCTTCGGTTGGTGTTTTCAAAATGCCTGCGGTAAGAAAGTATTTGCAAAGGAAAAGGCAACAGTTTGCCAGAAATATTGCTAGAGAAAGTCGTCATGATAAGTTTGTTGAAGAAAAAAACAGGAAGGTGACATCAGGAGAAACAAAAAGTCATCAAATGCTGGAATACAGAAGAAGGTGCTTACGAGCCCTCAGAGCTAAGCGTTGGAAGAAAGCCGGGCCAAGAAGCTCACAACAACCATCGAACCAAGAGAGCCTGGAACTTCGCTCTGCACGTTCTCAAACTTTACCAGAATTAGACGAAAATTACATCGTTAATCTAAAATTATTAGGTGAAGGATTAAGGCAGTGCCAAAAGTGCCATGCTGGACCTTTATCGCTCGACGACATATGCAAGACACCCTGCGTATAGGACTTGGTGTGGTTTTGCATGTTAAGTGCAAGGATTGCAAAGAAGAGAACAAGATCAAGCCATACCATTCTCACAGAACGATGAGACGAGGCCCTAAAACAGTCACATTGAATTCAAGGGCAGCATTGGCAATGATTCACACTGGTCAGGGGCACAGTCACCTGAAAGCCGATTTATCTATACTTGGGGTTGGCGCAATGACCAGTGCGACATTCAAAGCAAGGGAGCGTGAAGTTGGATCAGCAATTGAGAGTGTTTGTCAGGAAAGTTGCGCACATTACAGGGCGAAGGAGAAGGCGGAATCTGACATGGTAGACAGCAATGGGGACGCACTTATATCAGTGGCATATGACGGGGCGTGGCAGAAGCGCGGAAAGGCACGAGATTCGATAACAGGGTTTGGGACAGTGATTGGAGAGTCGACCGGAAAAGTTCTTGACTATGGCGTCAGATCTACACGTTGCCGCAAATGTGAGATTGCTGGTGAATCAAACGCAGTGTCGCATAACTGCAGAAAAAATCACAGCGGCTCTTCAAAGTCTATGGAGCCTGAAATAGCGGTGGCATGCTTCAACAATGCTACAAATCATGGTCTTAAGTATTCTTCTTACACCGGTGACGAAGACGCAACAACGGAAAGTCATGTCAAATGTCGAGTTAATTACGAGACCGCGAAGAAAACGGACAAAAACCATGCAACCAGGACACTGGGAAGTCGGTTGTACAGTGCACAAAAGACTGTTAAGGGTCTCACTTCCGTAATTATTAATTATTTTCTAAAGTTGTTTGCATATTGCATTTCAACTAAACAAGGAGAATCAGCGAAGATAAAGCAAGGACTAAACTCCTTGGTGTGCCACGCATTTGGCGATCATTGCAAATGTGACGTAAGCTGGTGTGGCGCTCTCAAAGATCCGTCCAACTACAAGTTTAAAGATTTGCCAGGAGGGAAGCCGTTGTCAGATGAAAACGTTCGAGCTGCAATAGAAAGTGCGGTAAAACCATTTCAAACAGACGAATGGTGTGAAAAGCTTGCGAATTGTGGCTCAAGCCAGGCAAATGAATGTGTTAATGCAGGAATCGTAGGAACTAAGGCTCCCAAAATAAGACACTACGGAAGTTCAGAGAGCCTAAATTTCCGTGTGGCGTCAGGGGTAAGTCAGTTCAATGAGGGCTATGGATATCTGACCCAGACCACGAAAGCCCTTGGATTAGAAGAGTCAAAGGTAACCTCAGTGTTTGTATCAAGGCAATCGAAAAAGCGAAAGAGGGAACAAGAACGTAAAAAGGAACCCGGGGTGAAGAGAAGGAGGAAGGAAATGAAGAAGATGAAAATTAGAAAGAAGGAACGACTAGAAGGAAACGAGGGAAGCACGTATGGAACTGGTATTGGAGTAACTGAAGAGGGAAAGACTGTAACGAAAGGGATTATCGAAGGGTTACAGAAAAGTATGTCGCAACAGGAGATAGACGAGATATGCAGTAACCTTGATATTGAATCCTCGTCAAGAGAGTCTAAGACAGTTGAAACAGACGGCGTGTTCTCCTATTTTTCCGTCGACTTGGAGACGACAAGCTTGAAACGCGACAGTGAAATAATACAAATCGCTTGTGTTTCTGTTGCAGATAATCATTCTTCTTTCAGTACCTACGCTGTTCCCGACAATAACGTATCGGCTCATGCAACAAAAGTGAATAAACTGTCCACTGCTTACTCTGGTGGAAAGAAGGTCCTTCTTAAAGGCAACGTTGTAGTTTCTGACATTTCCGAAGAACAAGCCGTTCATAATTTTGTTACATTTTTAGAACAAATAAAAAAGGCATCGAGTGGCTCCACAATAGTGCTCATTGCCCATAACGGAGATGGTTTTGACTTCCCAGTTTTAGTTAATTCATTGGCAAAGCATTCCCTTATTCAGAGATTAGAAGATCTGGGAGTTCTTTTCTTAGACAGTTTGAAAGTCCTTGCGAGTTTAAATGAGTTAAAACGAAAAGGCAAAGAAAGCCGAAGCTTGAGTCTTCCGAGTTTGTATTATAGCCTCTTCGCTAAAGACTTTGATGCCCATGATGCGCTTGGGGATTGTAAGGCCTTGTCAGAGGTTTTGTTGGCTGTGATTCCTGGTGAGAATTTCGTGAAATATGGCAATTTACGTACCGTGGAAGAGGTGAAAAATGACATTTCCAAACGATCTGTTATACGCAGGACAGTAATTTCCCTTCAAGATCTGCCCGTCTCTAAGGGAATAAAAGAAAAGTTGGCGAAGGCAGGAATTGGTCTACAGCAACTCAATGAAGTATTTGCTAAACATGGAACAAGAGGACTTTTGGGTCTTTTGGCAGTTCCACCAAATGGATTAAAGGCTCCACGTGTAACAAAGAACAAAAACATCCTCAAAGAATAATCAATTTCTTTGAGAACAGACGTTAATAAGAGCCTTACTAGTAATTGTTTCCTTTTTCTGCTTCGTTTCCTTTGCATGTAGTTTTAGAGGAACGTCAAACAGCGGGTGAAAAATTGAGAAGTCAAAAGTGACAATGTTATCATTTAATGAGATGCAATAAAATTCACACTGAAATGTACTGGTCATGGAGGTATGTACCGTGCGCATTAATTAGAAAGCATTAGCATAACGTCAAAACAGTGAATTTGTAACGCAGATTTTTGGCCGACTCGTAGGCTAGGTTCGTCTTGAAATTTCAAAATGTTAAAGTGATTTTCAGCCATTATTACACACATCATGAAGATTATGGGATTTGATTTTAAAAGAATTCGTTCTAGTAGTTTCAGAGATATACAAAAAAGCGCTAAAAGTCAAGATTTAGAATACAGTTGCGCTTAGACAGGTGTTGAGAAAGCAGGTTGGTTTTTTAAGATCGCAAGAATGAAAATACACCAAACTTTCCTAGCATCGAAATATGATATTAAGCAACATTCCGAAGCTACTCAAGATTAACTTAAGTTATTTTGAACTTTTTTATTAAATAATTTATCACGGCTATTGAAAATACGAGGTTTGAAATATATTTACGTTTTATTTGAATTCAAACATACAGAATTTTTTACTTCTCACGGAGGTTATTTGCTTAACACCAAACTTTAAGATCCTAGTGTTGGATTTTTAGTAGCGGGGCTAGATTGCGCAAAATTCGGCTTTTATCAATTTCTATTTTGTTTGTTTTTTTGTTGTCATAGTAATATCGATTTTGCTTAAAACTACATTTTCGCAAATTTCAATCCAATCGGACAAGAAAAAAAAACACTTTTAAGGTGATTGAAAAATATCGGTATGGCCTCTGAAAAACTGTATCGAAACAATTTAAATTGGCAGCTAAGTAGGGGTAGGGACTTCTATCAGGGGCGCCAAGAGAGGATTTTTTGCCTCCCAAAAAAAAAAAAAAAAGAAAGAAAGAAAGAAACAGAGAAAAAATCCTAGAATTTTCTGGAATTTCCCAGAAACTCCGGTGTAATTTTAAATCGGGCAAACAGTAAAGCACAGCTTTAATTTTTTATCGATTTATTTTATTATTCATTTATAATTTAAATTTTATCCCTTTTATCACCGTGCTTCTTACTTAGGCAAAGTGAAGTAACTTGAAGATTTACTTAGACCCTCGAAAACGCATTTTTGGCTGAGTAAGCTGCTAAGTTTTATTTACCAAAAATGTGCGTGTGAAGGCTGATGTAAAAATCTCATGGCAAGTGACTTTAATTTGCATCTCAAGTCGGAAAGTTGAAGCGATTCAAGAAAGTTTCAGTGACTTGAAAGCCATCCTTATAACAGACTCAGATGACTTGCGGTTTCTAGGGCTTTTAATCAGGCTTAATATCTCTCTCTGTGAGAAACTGCTCCGACGCTCTTTGGATTTGAAATTCGCAAATTGGGTTTCTATAAGGAGTCCAAGGTAGGAGACACAAGTAGCACATCACTTTTTTTGAGACCTTGGCAACTCTCAAGCGTGCAGTCGAGTCTTTGCTCGAATGAAGGCTCGCTGCTTGCAACATTTTGATTCTATGATATGATGCAAGTGGAAAAAGAAAATTAAATAAAGCAAAAATATTGTCAAAATCCTCCTCTTCTCCACCCCTCGACGGAACCGCCACCACGATCACTTTTAAGTAAATGGTCCAATAAAAGCCCCCTCTAAATTATTAAGTTTGTATTAGACGACGCTCCTTTCTAAAAAACGCCCATACCTAATAATAGACTCCCCCCTCTCCTCTTCCCTCCATAAGAACCCGCCCTCCAAAATACTAAATACCCGCGCTGGTACCACGTCTCCTTTCTATTGTAATCCCCAAGAAAAGTAATTTTCCTCTTTAAACCAAAAGTCCCGGATATTTGAATGATTATGTGGGGTTGTCGACTGTAACCCATTCGAATCGTGTTCCATAATCTACCCTAAATTTATTTCAGTCGTCTTCTCAAGACGCAGTTTCGTTCCGACTTGGGGCCGTGCAATGGCTGAAATTCAGGCTGTTAACATGATTGCATTCTAATCCGTCAAAATCGAGGTTTTGTCAGCGTGGCTTGAAATCGATGAGGCAGTAAGCTTTGGCTATGTCGTCATCATCGCCAGTAAAATCTGCGACGCCCAGGAAACTACGTTTCAGTCAGTTTGCAAATTCCTCCGCATAGTTTTGTGTAGGCATTCCATCAGTATTTTGGGAGTTCTCGTAAAAAGCGACGTGTCCACAAGGCGAGAGTTTACTGTTACGCTGCTTACCATTTGGCAAAAATTTCCGAAATTCTTGAGGGGAAATCAAGTCATACACCAATTAATTTGCAAATTCCAAATTTCGGGTTACTTCCATGCAGCGGTACACCTTCTCCTCCCTTTCAGAATGGGAAGTCGCAACCGTCTCTTCTTCAGGGCTTTTCCCCTTGAAGTTTTTAGAAAACTGAAGGGACGACCCTCACATTTTCTAAGGGAAAAGCCCCGAAGACGAGGTTGGTGATGTCTGGGTATTGTGTACAATTCACTCATTTTTACGAATGTCAAGCGATTGCAGGTAAGTGTTACCAAACGTGTATTTAAAATTTATTGCTATGAAAAAAAAAATCGATAATAAATAAATAAAAAACTTGATGGAGCCTTCCCGTCATCTTCGATTATTATTTTATTATTAGTAGTCTAACTATTATTGTTGTAACCATCTTTTAACTTGTTTCTTTTTAATATCAGACGGATAATTTTCTTTTGTCATGACTTAATTTAAAACACTGGGCTGCCTGCAAGAGTTACATGTATTGATCGCACCTGAGCCGCAAGGAATGAATTTGGGAAATCGTTATTGACACTATGATTTATATAATTCTTAATATGTTTCATAGTGCTTGATTTTTACTTCCAATATTTCTGTAAATTATGTACATATTTTTTTAAAGTTCAATAAAATTGTTGGTTATTGTTTTTAAAAATTATTACTATTATTATCATTATCATTATTATTATTATTTGTTTTCCGTCACAAACCGGAAAACGAATAATCAAAGCGTACGGTCATTCATCAGTAACCGGTTCATGGTGGCAAATCAGGGTAACTAGCCATGAAAACAGCAACTAAATCTTGTGAATGACCTGTGCCTGATAATATTGAGAAAAGAATAAAATAAATTAATTGGAGAAAGCAAGTAAACACTCAGTGACCTGTTTTTTTTTGTTTTTGTTTTTTTTTTTATCCGCGGACGTACAATGTACATTTAGTCAGTGCAATAACATCGTCACAGAAAAATGCTAAAAAAAAACAATGTAACTGAATGTAAAATTAAAGCCGCATAGGAATTATTACACTCACTGCTAACTAAATTAATAACTGTCGGTTATATTCATTTCCAACAAACGCGTAAAGTCATTACATTTTTTATAATTTTTTAATTTACATTTGTTTTGTTTTAACGCTTTAAAAACTCCTATAGTGCGAATACGGGTGTTTATGATTTTACTATTTTGGGTAGCACCCTTGTGCATCCTCCTCCCAACCCAATCCAAGGGAAAAACCCAAGGGAACGGGGCTGCCCCTTGAAGTAATCTGCCTGGCATTAGCCTCTTAATACGTCAAACAGTGGAATCGTGCGATTTAAAGACGTCAGATCAAACGTCCCTAAAAGCTATATATAATGGACGAGGACGGACGCGACTTCCCCTAATACATATGAAACGGGTAATTCAAGTTCATGTAATATGCTATGATTATCTCTGAGGGGTGAAATACGTTTATTCCCCGTTTACTATATAATTATTATTACTATTTTTTTTTTTTTACGGAACAATAAGTTCATTCATTTTTAGGAAATTCATAATGAGTAAAAATTGCCGTTATAAGTTCTTGTCCCATTTCTACCGATCACATTGTTACTCACTCATCTGAGTTCATGTCTGTAGCTTAATCATGCCAGGTTACAGTTTGGCTGCAGTTGACCAATCAAGAATCGACGAAAAGTGTCTATGCCCTAAATGTAAGGGTCTTCTCAAAGAAGCTGTTCAGACCATAGAGTGTGGTCACAGATACTGCAAAACATGCGTCGATGCCCTGTTAGAGTAAGTTAATATGATCATGGACGACGAAGTAAAATTTAATGAAGGCGAAAATAGTGTAAGAAAAAAAAAACATTTCTCAACAAACAACGAAAACACGCTTGGCCTAAGAAGTCTGGCTGTGGTAGCTATAGACCCTTCCCGGTTGTTGTTGTTGTTGTTGTTGTTTTTTTTGTCAAAACAGCTTAGACTTACGCCTTAAAATTCGTAAAGGTGCCAAATTTGAACGTGATTGGTTGAAAACTAACGAAGATTTAGCTTCGAAAGTCACCGAATTTCAAATTTCAAATTCAGTGGAAGTCGATGTAGTTCAGACCGACTTTTGTCTTTGTAACATACCCACACTGATTACTTAACAAATGGCCCGTTTATTCAGGAAATTTGAAATTGAATCTTTTCAGGATCAGAACTCCCCGAGCTGTTGACGAAAGGTCATGGGCATTTAAATGAATTTAAACAAGCGTTTATTTCACTCTTTTTTGTCTCTGATTTAGCCATGAAGATGGGAAGTGTGTTATTGATAGATCAAATATTATACGAGAACAGGTAAGTTTACTTTATTCCTTTTTCTTACTTCATATCTACTTCTGGACTCCTTTTTTTTCCAGTAAATCCTTTTCTTTTCGATTGTAAGCAAGATTACAGTACATGAAATATTTTCTGTTTCATTTCTTTTTCCCGCTTTTTGCAAGTGTCAACATCTATTTTTGATTTAAACACTTCAAATAAATTTCCCTCTGTTACTCAGAGGCATAACAATTTTACCGTAATTGCCACCTTCATTTAAGAAAAAAACTGTTTTTTTTTAGATAATTTTAAAACAATTCTGTACATAACGTTTGGAAACCAAAATACCTATGACAAGACACAGATTTACGGCAACCCATGCAACTAAGTCGAAGTGCCTCTCTCTTCCTGAGGTCTTACTGGAGGAGGGTCATCCACTAGAAGATTAGCGCTTGTTTTTCTAGATGTTTCAGTTTTTATTCTTTCCTTGCGTAAACTATATATTTTTTTGTCTTTTTTTTTTCAATCTGTATCACATGCAAACCGAGCATGCATTGGAGTGAAATAAATCTTATTCTCTTGTCTTGCCTTGTCATTCTTGTCTTGTACTATAAGATTTTAAACAAAGAAATGTTACGGAGACCGGATGTGTTTGCATGTTGTCATTTTCGATTTTTATTTGTGAGATCAGTATTAACTCTGGGTTTCAATAACATTTCAGGTGTTCTTGGACAGATTTATTGAACGTGAAATCCAATCAATGTTGGTTCATTGTGTTCATCATGATCAGGGCTGCGATTGGAAAGACGAGTTAAAGAAACGAGAGGTATACAGTAGTAGGCTTTTTAATAATGTCGCTGAAGAACTTATCAGTTATTTTTCTCTTTTATTTAGTATCGTGCTTCTTTCAGCAAAGTGCGCTGGTACAAACGATACGAATATCTGTGTGGCGACACCCTTATAACTCAAGTTGTTTAAGCCGGGATTCTGAGCGCTAGACTTAATAGAATTTTTCTCTGCAAAGAATTTACATATGAAAATTGTGTTAAATCCCAGAGGAGAGAAACGCCGTTGTTCTTGATCACCAAATTGAACGTGGCCGCCTTGACGTTACGTACATGCAAAGCAACGATTTGTTTTGTCAAGAGAGACGTGACGTGACTCTCTTATTATAATCAAGGGAGTTAAATTTCTCTAGTGCACTTATTTTCGATTTAGACTAATATACGATTTCATAGTGCCCCGCTCTAGACCGTCCACGTTTGTCATTACAAAACAGTAGGTTATTTTTTTTACGGTTTTTGACCATGCCGTGAACGATATCTTACGGATACCAAATGTTCTTTATCCTAATTATATTCTTGGAGACTCCGGGGAGGAAAATCTTTCCATCGATTTCCTGCTTGACATCTGACTACATCACTAGTTCAACTGAATAAAATTGCCATTAAAGTATGCATGTACATATACGTTTTCAGGATCATGAAGCAGTCTGTGCATACGTTCAAGTACCATGTGTCCATTCAAAATGCGGGGAACTAGTGACTAGGGCAAATCTGGTAGAACATCTTGAGCATTCATGCAAGTTCAGAATGGAAGAATGCGGGTACTGCCACGCTTTGGTAGAAAATGCATTCATGAAGGTAGATGTTAAGTTATTTTACTAAGCTTTACTTTTTTGTTTGTTTGTTTGTTGTTGTTGTTGTTGCTATCACTTATATTTTAAGCCCAATTTCCTAACAATAGGTATGCATCCTTCCTCGTAATGCAGCTTTAGGTTTTGTCGTAATACGCCGTTTTTTCTCTGCAAAGAATTCGTCGTATCGCCGTACTAAAATTTTCTTAACTTTAGATTAACCTACCTTATAGTTTCTTGTTTCTTACAATCTGGTCTTTAATGGCTGATTGCCGTTTTAAAATCCCTGAAAACCCAAATGAATGTTTATAAATCATGAATCTTCAGGTGAATGAATTATATTGTTGCTGTAGTAGAAACGAAATGCTATGGTAATAAGCTAATCATGTATTATTATGCACAGGGTCACCAGGAATCTCAGTGTCCTTCAGTCCCTACAGTTTGTCCAGAGTGTGACAGGAAAGACATACCTCGAGCTCAGGTGAGTTTTTTCGCCCCATGTAAGGGAATCCAAGACAGTCTTGGATTCTGGATCCCAAGCCGTTGATTTCGGATTCCAGGTAGTGGATTCCAGTCAGTGTCAGTGGAGTTTGGATTGTGGATTCCAATCGTTTGTAGGATTCCGTATTCCACAAGCAAAAATGTCCCGGGTTCTGGAATCCGGATTTCCTTACATGGAGCTACATCTGGCGAATATCTACTAAGGCTGCCATCTCAGTCAAAATGTACATTTAATTTTATCGTATTTGAATGGGTAATCACATGATTTCGAGTGCAATTTGAAATAAATAATCACGAGTATATTTTTCAAAGACCAACAAAAGTGCACGAGCCAGTAGAGCGAGTGCACTTCGATGTGGTCTTTGAGAAATTTACGTATACAAGTGCTTATTTATTCCAAATTGGATGAGAAAAATCATGTGATTAATTGATTAATTAACTCAAATTTATCATTTATTGAGTGTTTTCAGTTCGTCTTCCGTTTATCAATATGTAGATACTATGGACAGATCAATTTTTTGTAACAACTTTATTGGTTTTGATCTTAACCCGTTTAGATGTTTGCCCATATTGATCCAGTGAATGGAGACTGCGAGGGAGTGCTATCACATTGTCTGTGGACACAGATCGGGTGTTCCGAGACTAAGGTATGGAAACTGCGACTTCAATTCAGTTGATTAATAAGTTGTTAGTTTCGTAACTATTGAAAGAGATGAGCATGGTAAAAAAGAAAAAGTTACACTCTAAATGTTATACTGTGTCAGCGACGGAATCGAATACGAGAGTATAATTGTCTGCCGAAACAGAAGATTTTTCAGCTCATGCTGGCTATTTCCAGTCAAAAAAAAAAAAAGAAAAAAAAAAAACAGAACAAATATAATTAGAGGTCTTCCTCTCAAGGCAGGTACTTAACTGTGATGATTTTAAGACTAATTAATTTGGCAGACCGTAGTATCTCCAATTGTACTATCAAGTTAGAATACACTCTACAGTATGCATCACATGCAAACGGGATATGATTATAACCTTCAAACTGATATACGTTAACTTGTGCAGAATGAAAAACCCTAGTAAGTGGTTGGAATATAATAAGTGCAAAGATCAAATCTTTCGCTATATCAGCCGTTCACGTCATTTGATTCATTCTAGTTCAACATGAACGCGAGTTTTACACCAGTCAAAGTGTAAGTAAACAATAGCTTTAAAGATTTTGAAACAAAAAAAAACTAACTAGTTAGGTATCCTTAGTGCAATTTAGTAAGTAATTTTACATCATCACTTAGAACTCTCTTTCTTTCTTTCTCTCTCTTGATTATTTTTCCAGACTATGAAGTTACAGGAAAGAAAGATCCATGAAGAAAGACATGCCTCTGTCCACCTGATGCTCCTCTTTCAGACCGTTATGCAACTGTTTGCAATTGTTGGAAGGAACGTGCGAGAATCTGGTAATTTGTCACTGAATGGAGTAAATCTCCCTGCGCAAACAGAATTAGAACATTTTTCCAAACAACTGGAGAATGTGTTAAGGGAAAACGATGAATTAAAATCTAAAGTAGTTGAACAAGAACAGCGAATACAACAGTTGGAGGGCGCTGGACAGAATGGCCCTCTTCCAGGAAACTCAGCTGGGGCTGCGCTCGATTCGCCGTTAGGAGAGGATCTTTTGAACAGAATAAATACAGAAGAGGTGAAGATAGCCGATCTGGAAGTTTTGTTCGTTGAAGGCAACAAGTTTAACGAAGAGCTTCAGCGTCAAGTCTCTAGCATAGCCAGGCGACAGGAGTCTTGGAATGGGACTGTGGATAGACTACAGAGACAGTTTGAATCCATGAGTCACTCATTAGCCCTTCGAAATGTAATGATGACCGATTTGGATGAACATGTTAGAGAGCAACAAGTTTCTAGTCATGATGGAGTCTTGGTTTGGAAGATTTCTGACTTCGCCAAAAGAAGACAAAATGCAGTCACTGGATATGAAACGTCGTTTTACAGCCCCTGTTTCTTTACCAGTCGCTATGGATACAAGATGTGCGCACGCGTCTACTTGAATGGTGATGGCATTGGAAAAGGTACGCACATTTCAATCTTCTTTGTGGTCATGCGTGGTGAGTACGATGCCCTTCTCCGCTGGCCATTTAGACAGAAGGTGACGTTCATGTTGTTGGACCAGAACAACGTGGAACATGTGATCGACTCGTTCAGACCTGATCCCAACAGCTCCTCATTCCAGAAGCCAAGAAGAGAAACAAACATCGCCAGTGGATGCCCTACATTCTGTCCCCTTTCCGAAGTAAACAATCATGCCTATATTAGAGATGACGTCATGTTTCTGAAGGTCATTGTCGACACCACCGATTTATAAAGCAATTTGAAAACTCCAATTAGCTAGAAATTATGAACTTTTTACCCTGATTAAAAAACTTATAAAGAGACAACGATAACAACACAACAAAATCAAATCAGGAGGCTGTAATTTGATGACTTATTAGATGTCTCTACAGAAGTGGAATGGATACGAGACAGATCGAGAAGTGCGTGCGCATCTACTGGAATATCGAGGGCACTGAAAATAGTTTCTTCTCTTGCTATTCTGGCAGAGGGTCACGTGCACTGTTTTGGATCATTATCAACTCGGAACATATGGTAGACATTAAGCCTGATCCCAAAAGCTCAGAGGAGACTGAAGGTTTGGATCTGCTCAAAGACGATCACCCTGACCTTGGCTAACGGTGACTACAATGGATTGACTTGTAGTGGTATTTTCCACGTTGTTATTGTATACTGCTGAGAGGATGATAATCAAGATTCTTATAGAGATCCTCATCAGTGAATATACTGACACTAGAGAAAATGTAGCTCATTCTCTCTCGTCTGACATTATTTTCAATTCATAGTACCTAGTATTTAATTCATTTAAATGCTTTTTTTTTGTAATGAAACTTTTGATTTATGAAATAAATAAGTAAAAAAAAAGGTTAACTTAGGAGGTAGCCAATTTTGGCACGGTATCTTTAAAATGAAAAAACTGTAATTCTTCCGTTTTAATAATGGAGGTGATGTTACAGTTGAAAGTTATTTTAATATTTAGTTAAGTCTTTCTGTATTGAGAGGATGTTCAGGTCAAAGGATTTTCTGCCTGTCACAGTCCTTTTAACAATTTTCATACCCGTATGTTTGATTAGTGCCTGGCTACAGTAATCCTATATTTTCTACAAATGAACTTATTTCTCTTTGCATCAGTTATTTATATCAGTTTTGTGTCCCTAGTTATTTTATTTAGACTGCTTATTTAACACCATTTCAGCTTTGCGGCACTTGAAGCAGCTACTTGCACATGTGTTAGTGCGGCATACATGCAGTAGGTACCAATCACTTATGGTAAGCGAGTTGTTTGCGCATTAATTTTGGCTAGGTCGTTAAAAGTATTTATTTTGGCCATCGGCGAATTTAGAGGAGGCGGACTGTGGGGATGGGGTTTTGGTGCGACTGGCCTTGACCCTCCTCTATTTGTCCGAAATTGCGCTGAAATTCTCCAAGAATTTGATCTTTAATCTTTGAAGATTTTTGGACACATATACTCTCTGAGTTCTTTAATTAATTTATTGTGGTATCTTCACACAGTAGCTGGTAACCTTG